TCCAGGTGGATGCTGCACATTGGGGTGGTGGAGGGGAGTCCCCATTACCTGTAAAGCACTTTGAGTGGAGTGTCCAGAAAAGCGCTATATAAGTGTAAGCAATTATTAATAACAGTGATTTCAGATGATGATTTTATTATTTTAGCAAACAAATCACAAATGTTAAACTTCAATTGGAACCCATATAGTTGCCTTGGGTTTCCACCATAAAAAAGGAAGCTTATTTAAAGCATCTACATAAAACTGTTAATGAATCACAGTCTACCCCATTAGTCATCCATGTACAGTTTTATGCAAAAGTTCGGGCACCCCTGGCCAAATTACATGTTTTGTTGATTTTTTAAGTGAAAAGAAGTTAACAACCTCTGCAGCAAATAAACTTAAAACTGACATATTTCTGCAAATATTAATGCACAGTTACTATTTAGTTGCTAAATTTAACAGATTGAAAAAATAAAACAGTAAATGTGGCTTGTGAAAAAGTTTGATCCATCCACTAGTGTTATTTTTTGTAAGGTCTCAGAACTTAATTGACTCATTAGGCCTTAATCTAAGACAGGTGATGACAAGTCCAGAGCTTAATAAATTCTCTGACTCTTCGAACCTCTCAGGGTGTTGTGCTTACACTCCACAACCATGGGCTCCTCTTAGCAGCTGACTGAGGATCAGAAAATAAAGATTGACTCATACAAAGCAGGGGAAGGCTATAAAAAGATATCCAAACGCTTCCTGCTTGCAATTTCCACTCTCTGAAATGTCATTAAGAAATGGAAGTTAAGGGGAACTGTTGAATTCAAGACGATCTGGAAAACAAAGAAAAATCTCAGACAGAACGTCTCGTAGACTGGACAGGAATACAAAGCAAAACCCCCATATCACTGCAAAGGACCTGCAGGAAGGTTTAGCTGGCACGGGAGTAGAGGTGCACCAGTCCACTGTGCAGCATTGCTTGCACAAACATGATCTGCATTGAAGAGTCATCAGAAGGAAACCTTACCTGCGATCTCATCACAAAAGCCAACATCTGAAGCATGCAACAAAACACTTAGCCAGATACAGATAAGCCAGAGTCATTTTGGAACCAAGTGCTGTGGTCTGATGAAGTAAAAATCGAACTTTTTGGCTACAATCATCAAAGGTACTTTTGGAGAAAAAAAAAAGAGAAGCATTTGAAGAAAAGAACACCTTGCCAAGTGTTAAGCATGGGGATGGATCTATTATGCTTTGGGTCTGTGTGGCAGCCAGTGGCGCAGGACATATTGTGCAGGTAGAGGGAAGAATGGATTCTACTAAGTTTGAACAAATCCTGGAAGCTAATGTCCTACTGTCAGTGAAGAAACTGAAGCTGAAAAGAGGTTAGACATTACATCAAGACAATGATCCAAAACATACCTCAAAATTAACCATGAACTACTTCAAGAAACAAAAGATTAAGGTTTTGGAATGGCCTTCACAGTCCCCAGACTTTAATATTATTGAAAATCTGTGGGTAGATTTCAAATATGCAGTGCATGCAAGACCACCTAAGAATATTTCTGAACTAGAAGTGTTCTGCAAGGAAGAGTGGGAAAAAATTCCTAAAGCATGAATAGAAAGACTGTTAGCTGGCTACAAGAAATGTTTGGAGGCTGTGATTTCTGCCAAAAGGGGTGTTACTAAGTACTGACTGATAGAGTGCCCAAACCTTGGTGATAGACTGATAGAGTGCCCAAACCTATTTTTTTTAATCTGTTACATTCAGCAAATAAATAGCAACCATGCATTAAAATTTGCAGAAATACTTTATGTCACTTTATATTACCTTCTTTTCACTTAGAAAATCAACAAAACATGCAATTTGCCCAGAGGTGCCCAAACGTTTGCATATACAGTAACTGTAGATATTCAATATTCAGTACAGGAACATGCATCTGTACTGTACTCTATCTGTGCAAATAATTCACAGCACACAGAATCACTATACAGCCAAGTAACAGCTGGGTATTGCTTTGAACTCGCATTGTATGTCTAAGCAACTGTTTAAGTGACCTAGTTATAAGTTTTCTAATATATTTAAGTGTTCGTATTAAGAGTACGATCCTACAGTATTTACCTATTCATCACTGAACAGAAGAAAAAAATACTCTCCTAACATGGATAGAGATATTTTAGGTAAACCCAAGTACAAAATCTAATCTTTAATAAAAACATAATGGAAATAAGTTTTATTTTTCAAAAATAAAGTAAAAGGGTATGATCACATACTGTACGTTTCAAACAAAAACATTGAGGATGTCACCGGAAATCCTGCAAAAACAAGACAATGCATTCCGATCTTGAGAAGAGACAAACAAAAAGAACGAAACTAAAACTGAAGGTTTAATTTTGTATGTCCCAGATTTTAGCATTTAGATCACACTGAATTCTAAAATGGCAGACAGTGCCATTACCCAACACCCCTCATCCACAGACACCACAGGTGACCTCAGAGAGTGAGAAAACGGTCTCGGGACAGTAAGAACCCTCTATGTCTCACCATTATTTACAGGGGGAGGAGATGTATCCCAGCCTCTCCTAAGAGAAGTACATTCAAACAACATCATTACATAACATACATGTTGCACCTGGAAAGTGTACAGGTTTATTCCTTACTGAAAAGCAAAAGGAAAGATGAAAAAAAGTACTTTCAGATTTGAGACTGCCTTCAGGTGTGAAGAATTGTTACCCTTCCGAATGGAACTCTATTTGTTCTTCAGCAGTTTTCTAACACAGATCCCTACTCTAACCAAATTGTAACCGAGTATGGCAACCATGACTAATTTGTGAAAACTTTACGTTTTCTTCCCACGACACTTCATGTCCCTTGCAGCAAAAGCAGAACGGATGTTGCAAAATGCTAAAGTTTACAGAGCAACCAAAATCTCTACAAGACACCCCTCATGATTCCCCTTAAAATTTCAATAACCTGTAATGCCAGAACTTAACAGAGAATCATAATTCTCCCTTCAATTACTTAATTTAGGAGCAGATTTGCAGATTCTTGGTAATAAAATTTCGAAAGATTATTTTTTTCCAGCATAGACTTTATATTATTTTACATAATTGGATATTTATTATTTAATTACTGTAGGTTTCAAATTTCTTAATTAGGAAAGTAATGCCGAACAAGAATACCATTTGTTTCATGGGTTTCATGCTGCTGTACATCACTATCTAACTCGCAACTCTCCACCTTTAAAAACACTGCAGTAAGAAGACTGCCGAAACAAGTCATTCTGCTATTATTATTTATGAGCATGAAAAAAAGAGTGCAGACGCTTTAGGTCTGAGCACATGAAACGGTCTGTGGAGAATGTAAACGAAACTGTAATGTGAATCCAGTTCATCTGGCCTTTTGCCACTCACGGTGCTGTGGACAGGACACAAGCCCTTATTTATTGCACTTCATCCGTACTGCTGTTTCCATAGCAAACCAATAATGCTTGGAATATCTGGAGAATGTTGTCCAAGGATATTGTCATAAATTAGAAATACAAACTCAATTTATTTTCAGAGCTATTTGTCTATGACCTTCTTAGTTCCTCCTAGACTTACATCTCCATTGAATAGGGCAAAGTCAGTAATATTAAGAAATAGTGAAAATCAATCCACATTGTATTATATATAACATATATGTGCATACATATATATTGACTTATACTGCATATACACATTTAAATATATTAAACATATAGACTTCAAAAAATGCTCACAAATATTTCAATTTTAATGGTAAAAGCACAGAAAGAAATATATTTCAGAAGTATCAGGGACAGGGGCTAATAAACTTTCATGTTTAATCTAAGTAGAAGATATGTACTGGGTTCTTAAAATAATGCCATTCCTACTGTAATTGCTTGTTAAAATGCTTTTGAGGGCTTCAGTCATTTTAGTAAGAATGACTAATGAAAATCAATGTAAGCATTTAAATTAGTATACCAAATATTAAATCATGATAAATCATGAGGTCCTGACTCTCTGTGGTCATTAAAAATCCCAGGGCGTTTCTCAAAAAGAGAAGGGGTGTAACCCCGGCGTCCTGGCCAAATTTCCCATTGTCCCTTACCAATCATGGCATCCTAATAATCCCCATCTATGAATTGGCTACATTACTCTGATAGTTTACTCATGATGCTCCCCTAGAAAGTTTTCTGCTTGAAACTTGTTGCAATTTGTAGGCATCTAGACAAATTGTGTTCTTGTTGCTATTGAGTGGCTGTTTATTATTTTGTGCTTATTGAGGCAATAAGTATTTTTTCACTTTGAAAATTAATTGGCAAGTGACAGTACGTCTGTCACCCAACAATTCAGCTGCGAGAAAGCCCTGTGGTGTTTTTTCTTTGTCAATTACTAACAGAGCTCTCAAGGGTCGAAAACCTTAATATGTGAGATTTTTAATAAAAAATAGTGATGGCATACAATTTGAATTGATATGTTCTTCCACTGATATGCAAAAAAGACACTGGTCAATTGCTTAACAGAACTGCGAGTCTCTACAACTTTATTTTAATCAACCTAAACTCGATCCAAATATGTGAAATTTGGTTCCAATGCATGAGACCTGAGAGCTATAGGATTACTTACTAGTGCAGCTGCTGGCTTGCAAATGACCTTGCAGTGTATTACTACAAAACACAATTTCAGTATAGATTCTGGTATACATTTTGTAATCATTCATGCATTTGTTTGGCCAGGCGCTGCCGATTTTTGACCAGTAGGCTCAACTGGCCTGTATACAACTGTTACAAACCCTGTAAACACTGATATTTTCTTATATGTTGCAGAACTATTATGTGCACATAGTATGCAAGCAAACAGCGTCATTCCTACCCAACGGAAATTCCATTTCATGATGCTTCAATTTGGAGTTGTTATCCATTTGTTCATTTTACTTTTCACCTCTATACATTTCATCCACTAAACAACATAGAGAGCAAAAGCTCTGTTCTGGGGGTCATTCTGTGGCATGACAGTCTTCTTACCTGAGAAAGCATTACTGTAGTATCTGGAAAGGGTCTGCATGATGTCCTTGGAGTGCTGTGTCCAGGGAGCAATCTTTCTGTAGGTCTTCACCCTGTGGACAAGCTGAGAGCCCCCATACTGCAGAGACAGAGTGTCCCCATGGTCTTCATAGAGCTCCTCAAACAATCTAAACAAGCACACATCACACAAGCTTTCAGTACATTGTAAGAAACTTCATTTTTTAAATTCTTATTAAAAAATAGCTCAGCACAAATTCCTTTTCCTGGGTGGCCTCTATGAACTTGAACAGCATTCTTGCTTATTTAAACAGATTACTGGACACATTCCATAATAATGTGTGACTTTGCAAAATCAGCTTTTGAACCTACACACTTTATTAAATTTCTGTTAAACGACTGTTGTATTTAACATCTAAGTGCCTTTGATGTTTTAATAGATAGATAACTTATTTATAAAGTACAAATATGTATATCTACACATACTTAAGTTAAAATAAAATTAATATTTATATTTAACTTTACTGTAACACATATATTTTCCATTATTTATATAAATTCTGATACTTGTCAGTGATTCTTTGGGTGGTATGTACTATATTCCTTCATAGCACATTATTTTGATCTTTATAGCATGGCTATGGTAACTTTACTTAAAATGAATAACTAATTTGATTTAACACTGACCATTTTGTAACTGACAATTATTTCTTCACAGCTTGGCTAAAGGCAGCAGCTCCTGCCCTGCACAGGGGGAATGAGGATGGCCAGACAAGCTCCTCTGACCCCTCTGCTCACATACCACAGACTACCAACTCCACAGCGCCTTACAGGAGAGCGTCTGTCACTTGTGTTCCTGCGAGCGCCCGCCAGCACATGGCCGGAGTCCCTGCTGAGCTGAGAGAGCCCTGGTGGGTTGGCCACAACCCTACACCCAGGGGTGCTTTGCTCATTGAGCACACATGGGAAGCCTGGTCACAGTCAGCCAGAGAGACTGACCCAGGCGTGAACACGCACCCTTTGCAAAGACAGCTTTCTGAAGGACAGACACGTAAACCTCATGCAAAAAGAAAAAGCCAGTGTGACTAAATAATCAATATTACCTTAACCTAACACTTCGCACTGGGAGTCTGGACTCTTCAAATTCCCATACAGAAGTTCTTCAGGTATAAACCAATTGAGGCCAAAGACTAATCTAAGAGTCAGGATTGCTGCAACTGCTTGTGGAGTACTGGGGCCACTAAGAATTGTTTCTTTCTCTTGTTTTTGCAATTATAAAACTTAATTACTCGCTTTATTTTTCTCCACATTTCCACATGAAGCCTGAAATATGTACAGATAACCCAACAGCGTAGGAATTTGGCAAAATAAACTTCTGTTGCCTAGGTTTTAAAGAATTACCTGACACAGTCCGTATCAAACTGTAATTTAGGCTTGTCAATCATGCCTAAAGCATACAGCTGATAGGCCAAAGCACACTTCCCAACCATGAACTGGGCTGTGTTTGTACGGTCCAAACAGTCCACACAGTTGGTCCGTAAGACGCCAGTCTGTTCCAAAGATCAGAGAAGGGAGAAGAAAGGTTTATTATTCCAAATACCATAAGACAGAGATAACCCATTAACTTGACAAAACAGAAAGAAAAAACACTAAACAACAAGATGGTACTTAATGTATTATTTAAAATTAGAACTTAAGTTTGATTAAAAATGTGAATTTTAAGTGAATCTGATTAAAAGAGGATTTGTAAATAAAATGCTAATTCTTGCTTGTCTAACTGGCTTAAATTCAGTTTTACAAAAAAATGCATAAATAGTACAGTATGTGAGCACTGACAAATTGTTTTACTGTACCTGCATGCACCCACTGGCTGTGACATATCCTCCCAGATCACCCCACCTAATCAAAAAGAAGATCTTTACCCAACGCAACCAGTTATGTGTTTCAGTAAGAGTCTTATTTCAAGCATCCATTTTCAAAACTAAATCAAAAGAGCTACTGTAAATACAAATTTCAGTCACACTCCACAACACAGATAAAGCAACAATATCTTTTACCAGAAACTCCTTACTTTTGTGTATTTCTGAATACATTCTGAATACATACATTCAATATTTCTGAATAGATCAACTCAATACCAACAAAGGCTGGGAATGCAAATCATATGAATGCGAATTACACAAAAGAGATTCACAAATTATTTCATAATATTCACATTCAATGTGTTTGGCCAATTGATGACCAAAGGACATGCGTATCCATGTCAAATATGCATAATTATATTTGTGCATTAACACAAGTAATTCAACAAGTTTAAAAATATTTTTCTGAAGTCACAGAAGTTGTATTGGTTTGTTCTGAGATGTTAATGGAGTAATACTAATTTTCCCAATTATGCATGGCACAGAACCCAGAGCAAACATTTAGCCTAACGTGTACAGTTAACTGGACAGAATTAATTTATCAGTCCATCATTCCTTTTCTTTACTTTTTATTTAACAATGAAAGGATTTACAGATAGAACATATACAAAATAAAATAATTTTCTACTTTCATATTTCATTTTACAATTATGTTTTTTATATATTTAACTATTTACATTATACCAGCATACATGGGAGTTATAGAAATAAAGTCAGCAAAAACACATCAAACAACCAGCAATCCAGACGAGAGATTACTTCATCTTCTTTCACAGAACAAAATCAGGTCTCAGTGGGGTCACAATCCCAATCCAGGCTGTAACATCAGAGAAAAGTTGATCTTTTCTGTTATATAAATATCCTTTACAACTTTGATCCATTGTTCTGGTGTTGGGGGTTAGGTCTATCAATCTTTGAAACACCTTACCTTTCATCAGGCCTCAGTGTATGGCAGTAGAAGTCTGGGCGATTCACAAAGAACCCCGTTCTTTTGACAACATTTTCTGCGATCAAGCTGAGCCGGTCCAAAACATTACATAGTTTGCTAATGAAAAAGGGGACATTTTAGCAATGCTGTAAAGCTGGAAAAAAAAAACATTTATTGAGCTGTCCTACTGATGGTGTCTATTTTAACATGTGGAAAGAACTGTCCAGCTTTCATTATTTAAACATTTTACTAAGTCAAATTTATTTTTTTGCACTATTATTTCAATATTGTAAGAATAAGTGATGCTTCACTGGGCAATGTCTCTCTGATTTTATGGGTATTATGAAATTAACTTGGTAGCTCACACACACATCCCACTTCTCTTAATCAGCTGCAAGCCAATGGACCCAACTCGTGACAGTCACCAAGACAGATGGCCAGAAACAAGGACTTCAAATTAGATTTTATAAATCCTTTAACTCACTAAAAATCAAAGTAGCACGATCTTCTTCAGGCAATCCAAAGATGTTAATATTTCTTTCACACACAGGACTACTTACAGTTATTGATTGTTCAGAACCTAAATCTTATTCAGTGGGGTTTCAGAGACATTTTTCAAACGTATGCTTCATCTTAAGAATATGGCCTAATACACATCCTCTTGAAAATATGTTTTGTAAGATAATGTCATGGAGATAATTCGGTGTCAAAGCTGTTTCTCTATTCTACAGACTCAAATGAAGAAGAAAACTCCCTGGTCCTCATATAATAGTGGTATTTCTCACACTTTCTCAAGTTTGATAGTGACCATTCACTTAGTCACTACTGAAAATACAAAACAAGAATTTAGAAAGTGCAACAGAAATAGTGCAATAAGCAATTTCATATATTGAAATATTTAAATATAAATTACCTGATTAATAAAATAAAGCATTAAACAATTATAATAATGTAACAATTATTAATACATAAAGCAATATTAATACATAAAGCAATAAAAAAATTATCTATGGGAACTGTGACGCCAGGTGCCTACCTCTTGGTGTACCTCGCCATGTCCCAGGCAATGTAATCAATGCAGTGCTCAGGGGGAAGGAACTGGTTGAGGTTCAGGATGGCTGGATAGAGCTCCTCGCTCAGAATCTTTTCATGCTTCCTCTTCTCCCGCTTCTAAATCACACACGCAGACATCATCGATCACTTGTAATCAGCTAGTTCATAGCAATCAGGAAACGATCTGCCACTGGGTTTTCATGAAAGCTTTTTGGCTGCAGTGCTGGAAACATTGTTCCGTGGTTGTCCCAACACTGGCATTCATGAGATCACGTCAACTGAATTTTTAAGGGGAACATAAACTAGACCCTCCAACAATGGTATTTTTGACAATTTCAAGTTAAGAATATAGTAGAATACTGAAATAATTACTGACCTAACTAAAGAATAACTTGACAATATAAGGGCAGAACCAACTGAAAAGGAATGATGGCACAAACTGTAATACTCATGATGCATCCTTTCTCGAGCGTGGTACCCATACAGCATTGCCAAGGCTAACCTCACAAACCCTGTTAAGAGTTTACTTTCCAAGAATACAACTTTTGTTTTTGTAAAATATAAAGGTTTTGCATGATCAATTTATTAGATATGTAGCTGAAATATACAGTAACTGGAGATTTTGGACCTGGGCTTTTCTTTATGTGGGGAAGATGAAAGTTTCTGCTTTTCAACAAGGAATGGTCTGCATTATACTGTAATGCATAGAGTTTTCTAGAGATAAAGCCTGTTTGATTTGCTCAATGATTTTAACCAAGACGACTTACATTTGTACCCATTTATACAACTGGGGATTTTACTGGAGCAATGCACAACAGTATAACGTACTGTACAGAGCTCTGTACTGTAAAAGTATCCAGAGACATGCACAGTTTTCACATGTTGTTACTATAAAGCTTGCACTCATTACACTCTGACATAGCAATTAATATTTGTTATATACACACAATGTTAACTTTGCTCAAGGGTACAACAGCAGAGTCCCAAATGGTATTTGAACCCTCAACCTTGCAGTTACAAGTATATGTTACCTTGTCTGCTAAATTAATAAACTTGGACTAAAACAGATCGTCCTTGATGTGTGTGTCTCTCTCTCTAAAATTCCTTTTCAAGATGAAAGACAAGCACTTCAAAGTCCTCCACGTTCCATTCCATACTTCACAATAACAAAACAATTCTGCTTATTACCCACACACAAAAAAGAAAAGAACCTATTAAACCTTTCAGTTAAAAGCAAAGCTGTTTACTTCCAATTCGCATTTAGTAGTCTGACATTTAATGTGCAGGTCTGGACATCAATCCCATGTGTCACACAGCTGCTGCTGCAGTGCATGGAGTTGTGAACTGTTTGAAAGTCTGCAGTTTCAGAAGTTACACACCTGACACGTGCCTGAGGGTCAGCACTGTCTTTATTAAGGAATGCCTCCCACATTAGCACGAGCCATGAGCACAGGAAGCCCCACGGCCATGAAGGAGTAAAAAGCTTGCAATTAATATTTTAACCAGCACTCAGAGAAAATTACCGCTGATAAATTACACCGTCCTTCACAGCTAGAGAAAAGAAGATGGGCATCTACACTTTTAACAAAGAAATTTCCACACAATAGCATCCTGTGGGAATATCATTTGTGTGTATGCCAAGCCATGTGAAGCTTTTCTGCTGCTTTGTCACAAATGGTCTATTACTATACTATTTACTATACCCCATTACTTTGCTTTTTCAAAAAGGACTCACACATACCAGCTTGATACCGTTTTCTATTTAAAACACTAGTGTCTCTGCTGTGTGTGGCCAACAGGTAAAGGCAGCTTTGTGAACAAGAAGTAATTATTGCTTTACGAGTATTTTATTTCTCCACGCAACTAGTTGTCAACAGGAGCCCCCACCCCAGCCCTGAGTCACATGGCTGGGCCTTGTGAATCAGCAGAATCCACTGAATAGCCATCGCGTTTCACACCTTGTGAGCGTCCACGTGAGCACATTCATCAGAACTTCAAAATGTCACACTGCAGCATTTGCAACAGCATGTGAATATTGACAAGCTAAATCTGTGTATGTTTTGCTTTGGATCTCTTTCAAGATGACTGATAGCAATCTCTGAAATCAGAAAATTCCACTTCTTGTTCAGTCTGCTATAGCTACCATTTGTTTACCAAAGAAGTTGGGATTTACAAAGGTGGCTTGTCATTAAAGTTACATTTTATATTAATTTTAGAATGTTTTTCTACATGTCTTATAGGCATAGTAAGCAATGGAATCCATTCTTTTTCACGGGATAAATGCAATACTGTATATCAATATGTGAAATATTCAGCTGAATATACAACCTATGAATTTAAATATGAACTACAAACATAATGAACAAAACTAACAATAACAACTGAAACACATCTTTAATGCACACAGAGGTTCAAAACGTATTTCAGTTGCAATAAAGAGATTCAAGACAATTACGAGTTGTCTTCCACTCTATTCAAGAGGATAAAGAAAAAGCTTTAATATAAAGTATACTTTGTTGTATACAGTATATAATCACTGAGTTTAAAATCACTGAAAGAAAAAAAAGAGATAACACTGCTATTAAAAAAAACAATCAACGCACATAAAGGAGAATATTCTGCTCTCTACCCCTGGTGTATGGAAGACTGTTAAAGAATCATTAGAAGTGAACTGAGCATAAATTAAACTGCAGTGTATGTTTTTTTTATGAGTGAGATTTTTTTTTAAAACTGTTTTAAGAAAACTTTACGGTTTGAATCATGGAAGGTAAGAAAGGGAAAAACCTATTTGCCAACAAAAAGTCTGGAAAATCACAAATACCTCGATGAGAATGGAGCAATCAGACTCATGCAGAGTGCGTGATGAACTGCTTCCTCAGGCCCAACTACACCTCAGGAGAGCATGTAAGTACACAGACTACACTGCATTTGCACTGGTAGGGACAGTTCTGGAGATACTGTATCTGGAATACACTGAATAAACTGGGAATCATCATTATATACTGATATAAATGCAAATTGATTCAAAAATATTTTTTTCTAACAAAAACAGAAAAGGTGAGGTGATTGCAAGCATTTTTCATTAAAAATGCCCAACTTGTAACAGCAATAAAAATACTGTAAATATGCCCTAAGCATCCCGTTTACCAACATTAGTGGTGTGTCACTGCCTTTGTCCCATTCAGCCTTAATCATGTCCATTTCCACATTTACATTTCCGCAGTATTTGATAGTAACTTTCCTTTTTTTACACCTCTATTCATCTCTTCCCATAACATTTCCACGTTCAGCCAGCTGGGGACATTAATTTTACTGCGCGCTGTGTTGTTCATCTTTCTAATTTAAGTAATTTAGGTTTAGTCAGGCTGTGTGATTATGTTCATTATCTTGTAAAAAAACAAAAACTTCAACCAATCTCACCTTTCTGGTAGTGTTGCTTAATGCTGAAGAACAAAATTATATTTTTCTTCTTCTACACATATTTTGTATACCTTTCATCTGCATAAGGTTATCAATGCCAAATGCGTTTTTATATATATATAATTAACAAATACCAAAGATCTCCATGTTCAAATAATACTCTGGCAAACTTTCATGTTTTCCTTCACATTGTATTTCCTCTTCAGGCTGAAAACAAGTTAAATGTGTCCATAATATTCTTCTTAACTATTGACATCCTCTATGGTTTAATGCCCATTCTAGGCATTGCTGATGACATTCTCTTTTTAGGAAAAGGAAAAAAGATTTTCACAGTAAAACTTTACACATCAAATGAGCCTCTTGAAGATTTTTCCTTTTTATATACAGTATGAACCTTCTTTCGACCTTATTTATAATACCATGTAGTTGCTATGCCCTGGTGAGCCAGAGCTCGCAGATCTCAGTCTCCTCGGAAAGCGGGCGCATTTTCCAAACACCTCCCAGGGCTGTTTGGACTCGTTCAGGCCACCTGTCCCAACAACCTTCCTCCCATTAACCGGTGCTTATCCCATCAAGTTCAGGATAAAGACCTGCTCTGCCACCAATCTGGGGGTAGTGCTCTCAGCATTACTAACCAGGTGGATGCTGCACATTGGTGGTGGTGGAGGGGAGTCCCCATTATCTGTAAAGCACTTTGAGTGGAGTGTCCAGAAAAGCGCTATATAAGTGTAAGTAATTATTATTATTATTATTAACCTGCGCCTCACAAGGACACTCAGCTCAAATCTTCTGTCTGTCAGAGTTTTACTTGTCTCAGCTGGTTCGGGTTCTCAAGGTGGTTTCACATTCTAGCATGGAAAGAATCCTAAATGAACATGTTCACATCCGTGCTAATTGGCAATCAAATTCTAACCGAGACACAGGCATATTTTATACAAGCAATAGAAGACATCTGCGTGAGACAGAAAGGCAACACTGAGTACAATACCTTAACGAGATTGAGAATGATGATAGGAGAGCCAAACCTCTGGAGCATCTGATCAAAGTGAAGAGCTGCTACATGTGCATAGGGGTCTGCTTGGTCCACTGGAAGACAAGAAGAAATAATAGGTGACCTGAGCACGACACAACAAACAAATCCAGCCCCTACTAAGACTACAGAAAACTTGCCCTGCTCTCTAAATCCTTAAGTCAACTAAAGGAAGAAGGTTCACAAGTGAGGACTTTCAAAGCCAACAGAGGGAGTTGGTGTCGCAACTCGGCCACTGTTTTGCAAAGTCTCTCCCTAACCCTGGCCATTGTCCAAACTCCTAACCACTGGAGTGATGAGTAACGCTTTGCCAGCACTTGGGGAAGTCTGAAGTACTTTTAAAGGGGAACTGGGGAACTGCAGTGCCGATTTCTCAGACCCGTTATGAAAGCTCAGGAACAAAATAAATCCATTGATGGGACAGACACATTTTACAAATTTCAAGTTAAGCTCAAAATCACTAAATGTGTGAAAGTACTGTAAGTTGCCATGTTGTCGAAAACTCCTGGTCTTGCCACGCGTTAGAGCGAGACTACGCGAGAATTGGAAGTTTTGTTGCCTTGTTTTGAACTGCAATATATATCGCTGCATGTACCTGGAAATTATGTCTATTTTTTTTTAACAGTGGAAGTTTTACAAGTCACCGTGAACTGTACATTTTATTTTCATTGTGGTTTGAAATGCACTCATCAATGCTGATTCTTTCTAACCCCAAAATATAAAAATAGCCTTGCAGTTCGCCTTTAAATGAAAGAACAATCTGAACAGATATATATTTAACCAATTATGTCTAAAAATCTATTTATCCTATTTTTAAATCCATTTTTTCTTTCCCAATTTTGATTTAAAATTTCACATTTTTTAGGACACATTTTTGGTCCTAGATTTTTTTATTCAACAAAGAAAACACAAATTTTCAAGAAGCACCAATTTTCTTCACTGATGATCTCAGAAGTAAATGGTCTAAGAAATGTAGGGCATTGGGCATAAAAAGCTGCTTGCCAATTTTCAAGCATACCAATTGTTAGTCATTTCAATGACACATCGATTTGGCTATTCAGGTAAATAATAATGATCTCCAGTATTCTTAACTATATTTCAAGAACAACCTGATTACCTTTTTGTATTAAATGTATGAGTCTCCAATTAGGGTAATCAGATGTACAGTATTTCTGTTTTGACATACAACAATGCAGTCACCTACATTTTCCATTTAAAGCCCACTTACTTTCAAAATCGTCTTGCATAACATGTATTATTACTAAGGAATATGAACTTCTGATCCCAGAAGATTACTTAAAGCAATATAAACCAGATTCTTAAAGAAAGATTGACCTACTTTTTTAATTAAAACTCATTAGTTGTCAGATCTCACCATAAGAGCCATATAAATATACTGATAACCATTGCATATTTAATACATGATGGGCCGAGAGTGAGAGCTGATGTGGATAAAAGCAGATAATTAATTTCTAGGAGAGACGGGCATACTAGATTCTACAGAAAGAGGTGAAATACATCTCAAGACAGCCTCTGTAAACAAACATTTAATTAAATGTAATAATAATAATAATAAACTTTATTTTATATAAGGCCTTTAAAGGTGGCTTCTCAAAGCGCTTTACAGAATGACAACAACAATAAATAAAAAGAATACACAAGATAAAACACAATTACAATATACTGTACAGAGGAGACCGTGGATGGTAGTACTAGGAAAAGCAGAGGGGTAAAGAATGGAACCAGTTAAGTAAAGGCTCTTCTAAAGAAGGTTTTGAGTCTGGATTTGAAGGAGTTTAGAAAAGGTGACTCTATGATATCCTTGGACAGAGAGTTACAGAGCTTGGGGGCATAACAGGAGAAGGTCCTGCCACCCATACAATGTAGACGTACAGTTAGGAGACCAGAATTAGAAGAGCGAAGGTTGCGAGGTGGGGAGAAAGGTGATAATGGTTCAGACAGGTACTGAGGTGTCAAACCATGCAGAGCCTTATAGGTGAGCATGAGGATTTTAAAGTCTACACAGAATTACCTGGAAGCCAGTGCAAGGACTCCAGGACAGGGGTAATGTGATCACTTGCACTAGACCTGGTCTTGATCCTGGCTGCTGAATTGTGAACATACTGCAGATTGTTCAAAGTAGATTTAGATACCCCAGCGAGTAGAGCATTACAGTGCTCTACAGCATTACAAATGTTGCTGGTTTTGAGGTTAATGTTAATTGTTAACTAAATGTTTAGCTAACGTGAACTTACCCAATATTTAATCAAACTACAAAAAAAAACTACAGGTTATAGGCAAGAGCAATCAGTGATTATCTGCAAAATGAAATTGAACGAAATGAGGCTGATTGCAGGGGGAATAAACTTACAGGTTCTAGTAAGTTGTGTGATTCTTGTATGAGCAGTGTGTAATGATTATATACAGTATGTGCTGGTGTTTTTTATGTTAAGTTACATTTATTTTTAAAGTCATGCTTACTTGTAAGAGAGATAAGATCACTTTATTGGCCATATACAGTACTGTACAATTTCTTTTAATTTTTTCGCATAACCCAACTTATTCTCAGAGGGGTCAGAGCGCAGGGTCAGCCATTTATACGGCGCTCCTGGAGCAGTTGGGGTTAAGGGCCTTGCTCAGGGACCCAACGGAGTAGGATTCCTCTGCCAGCAACGGGATATGAACCAGCAACTTTCCAGCCACAGGCGCAGATCCTTAGCTGCAGAGCCACCGCACCACCAGTGCGGTTGAAACAGTTTTGTAAGTTTTTGTGTGTATAAAACATACTGTAGCTGCTTGGATACAAAACACAGTTCTGAGAAATCAAAGTACTGTTACAGCTGTACAGTAGGTGACTAGAAAGTGTCTTTAAGAGTTTAGATAATGTATGTAACACCAATCTGTGTAAATATTTCCAGCTTCAAAGCAGAGGGGATTTTTGCTGAGAGGTAAGGGGGCCCAGATTCTCAGATCAAAGCATTCATAAAGTTTACCTTGGTTTACCTTAGTTAATTAAGTTCTGGGTAAAAGATTCCAGAAATACTCCATATAAGATCAGATCAAGACAGAGAAAGGAAATAGTCATTCCATGCAAGACAGAGTACATAGGAGGAGAAGTTGAAGCTTTTGCCAAGTTCTTTGTTCCCAGTTAGTCGAAAGGACCCATCTGGAGCTAAGTATTTGAATCTTGCTTAGAGAGCTTGCAATTCTGTAGTTTTTAGGGAACGTGAAGCATTATTGAAGAATTGAATGCTTAGTAACAGCCTGGGGTTTTCCCTGGTGCTCTGAAACACCTTCTCTACAAACATGTAATGTACATAAGGAAACTTGTGTATTGTACGTTTACGTAGTGTGTGTAGCGTAGTGTTTGTATTGTCACTGTTAATAATTATTTGATTAACCAAGTGTGTCTGAATTATTACTCTTTTCACCAATGCTGTGCAAGAGAATAAAGCCTACACAAGGCTCTAATTACTACAGCTCGGGTATATTCTTGGAGTAGGAGAAATCCTGGTAGTTATGATTAATCATTTTACTTATTGACTAAGCAGTTTTGTCAATTTGTGTTAGTCACCATTTTTGTAATGCCTTATTTGTAACAGTATTACAAAAGGGTATCGAACTACCCTATTCTGTACATTTAGAACAATGGGCATCCTCTGAATGTGCCAACAGCTGACACTTATCTGATCATCTCCCTTGAGGCAGTCATAAATGTCAAAGATCTAGGTGGTACAACTACCAAGCTGTACCACCACAGCCTTCAAAGGAATCAACCAAAGCATAAATACAGGAACAGACATACAGAGAGAAGAGTAAGAACAGAATGAGAAAGGAGGAAGTATAGACGCCATCGTCCATCATCCTCATCTTCATCAAAAGCTACTACAGAGAGATAGCTCCTCTTTCCAACTGGACTTGAAACCAGATTCTGTCCACGCAATCTGAACACTGAAAGGGACAGACGTTGAGCTTCTAACTAAAGAGAGCTTGCTGTCTTATTTTAATAGGAAATTCTGTTTACTTTGGTGAGACATCTGCAGGCTAAAACAGTCTCTTCTATTTTTAGAGATGACTTTGTTTAGTATAGGGGAATTGGCATCCGTTTAAAGATGAAGATTTAGTCCTGTTTACAATCCATTTTGCTTATTTGGATGCCATATCTTTCTATGGCCTGTTAAAGTGGTTGGTATAATCATATCATGAGGAAAGAATGTCTATAGAAGGTAGGGCTCCATATCTCACTGAATTCTATACACAACTGTTACACAATGTTACACAATGTTGTGTTGTACAGTGTTAATAAATATGTTTGGCCTAGCTTTTGGTCTTTTTACTCTTGTATTATTAATTTGTGCCAGAGAATAAACGACCCACATACTTGGTAATATCTGACTTTAGGGGGTGAAATTATTAATATTTATATTTGCTTATATAGCAAGCTAATGTCAGGACCTGATTTCTATAATGATTTATAAAACTTATATTATGATTTTCTCAACCCCAATTTGTAACAATGTGTTTACATTGTTTCTAAAAATAATAGATACATTGTGAGTTTCCTTACATTACCGCATTTTAAAAATAGAGCACCTGCATTATAGTGCAACAAGCATGTTTAATCTCCAAATAGAGGAGAAACACAGTCAAGGAGGCACCATAATTACAAGGAAGCAGATGAGGTAAGATGTTAATATACTAAATTACTTTATAATAAGAAGGCTTTTGGGTGGGAATTATTATAGTAAAAGGGCAAATCTCTGTGTAATGGAGTCCAGAACAAAATTGTCAGATACAAAAATCATGGAAGCTGAGCAAATGGAAGCTCCTTTGACAGAAGCTGGAAATAATTAAAAGTCAAGATGGATGGAGTATGTGGAAGATCCTGGTTAACTGTTATGATAATGATAATGTTTCTTTATTAGCCCTATACAATTTCTTGCATTAGGAATGCGTCTTTTCGCATACCCCAGCTTTTCTCCATGGAGACACAGACACAGACACAGAGACAGGGAGAGAAGCTTGGGGTCAGAGCGCAGGGTCTGCCATTGTACGGCGCCCCTGGAGCAGTTAGGGTTAAGGGCCTTGCTCAGGGGCCCAACAGAGTAGGATTCCTCTGCCGGCCGTGGGATTTGAACCGGCAACCTTCCAGTCACAGGCGCAGATCCTTAGCCACAGAGCCACCGCTCCGCCCTTGTTGTCCAACCAGCACTCAGCAGACAGGTACAACAATTTCACCCATAATAAATATCACATATGATGGGAAGCATGTGAGTTAAAAATTCTAGTACAGGCATTACACTATTAAGATTTATCAAAACACAAATGAAATAATGCCTGAATTTTTCATCTGAACGCTACAGATTTTGTCAAGTGAAGCATGAAAGTAATAAAGTGAAGATTTTATGAAATCATGCATTAATAACCATTTTAACAGCACAATTCCAGTAATAAATATAAATACAATACCAGACAAAACCTAATTATTTTAGTAAGACATCTAACAAATTGCAAAACTAATGTACTGTAACTGTTCCACACTGAAACTATGTAGGTTGAGCCTTACAGGGCAGTGAAAATGAATGAATTAGAAATAACATACATACTGTGGAAGATTACCATCAATGCGTGGACAATACTATTTGCCAACAAAGACAATACAACTTCTGCAAAAATGTGAATGCAAAGCTCCCCTTATGAGCTCGGAGAGAAAGAGTTTAAATCATGTTTAAACTAAAATGACAGCAAAACACATTCCCATTCCCAGTAAGCTTACATATATATTTATGTTTATAAATATATCTGAAAGCTTACTGGGAATGTTTATGTATTACATCAGCAGCTCATTATGTATATAATTTTACTGAGATTTTTTTTTAAATACCAAGTAAATAGGTATGCTGACTGTTTGAGTACCATTATGCTTTAGGATAACACCATACTGAGGTCAACTCATGTGATTTCGTAAAAATGTCAGGTGTGCAATGTTTTGTATATTAGGAGAGTTAAAAATGCCTAAATTAGTTTAAGACATGATTTTAAGCATCAATGATGCATGGGTTGTGTTAATGCTCAGGGAAGTCATATCCAATACTCATTTTGTTATGTTTTTATTCTGACACTGTGTCACATTTCAAAGTAAAAACTTATCATGATTCTGTGATTTTCATGTTGACATTTTCTGTGATATTGATTGATGTCCATGTGGATGAAAACCATTAGGCCTCAGTACTGCTTTGCTTGCGTACCAGTATAAATGGCACCCTTGTGCACAATCTAACTTCTTTGTTGTATAATAAACTAATGGCTTGTCCAGGTGACGTCACAGATTTTACTGCCAATGACAGTGAAGTTGTTGTGAAAATTCTTCCTTTCTTGTTTACATTTCAGAAAGAGTTCCAGGCTTCTTCCAAGCATCAGTATTTTAAAAACGTGGTACAGCATGGCTTGTGCAAAATATTCAGCTGTGATGAGCGATAAAAAGCTCCCTACTGAGTGGTTTCTAGCAGTATGAGATAACATGAACAACGTGGCAATTAACACTGAGTACTTGTATGTAAATCCAGGCCTTAAGGACAACAGCATTCAGCTCTGGATACAAAAAGTGTGAAATGGAGTCTTGAATCTCTTAACTTCAGGGACAAAAAAGCTAGTTGAACTTTCTCTATGACCTGATCTTTGTTTATTTCGAAAGAAGTTACTTCTAAAAGGTTATTGATCTCTGTATTATCTGCAGTGCTCTCAAAAGATCAACAAATATGTACACCATAGAAAACAGATGATATGGACTTGATAATGGAAAGTCATTATCAAATAGAACTATGGAATAGAAAACCAGCGACACTGCAATGATCACAGTATTATGAAAAAACCTGGTGTCCAAATGCAAACCTTGGTTTTGGCCAAACCTTGGCCAAATGCAAAAAATGGTTTTGCTTTGAATGTTTGTAATCTGGTAATCTGACAGGAATCTTTAACAATTGATAGAGGGCTATCAGTTCTGCTCGAGAAGATGGTGTTGGATCTGGCCATTGTCGAGGAGTTCCTGTAAATGTCGGCTTACAACACTTCCATATTGTTCACTATAGCACACTAAGCTAGATTCACAAGACAAACCTATAAAATATGCAATAACTATGAGCTTTTTAGCTCTAGTTAGGAATAGTTCAATAGAGATACTTCAAACCTACTGTATGTAAACCTCTCTTATTTTAGCTCTTCTGTAAAATTAATAACTTACATCGAATGGGTGGTTTGGGCATCATTGTAGAGATGTCCTGAGACCAGTAGAGAGGAACCGAACCTCTGACTTGTACATATGAGGAGTAACTTCCAGCCGTAAAAGACATGACTGAGGCATCGTGGATTATCTGCTCCGTTTCCACTTCATTAGCTACATCTCCCTGTTAAAAAGGAAAAAAAGATACACTCTGATAAAAGATACTAAATGAAAATAAAATCCATGAATGTGTCCTAGATTTGAAAGGATAAAGTAACATAAAAGGAAGAGTTGTAGATACAACATCAGCCACTGCAACAGCAAATCAATGAAACACCTGAGAAGTGATGAAGCCGACTAAAATGAAAAGCCCAATACCTCACAGTTCGCTCCCCTCTTCAGGAAGCGTGTTCCAGCAAATTTACTTGATCTTCTGGCAATCAAGGTGACATAAACCGGTCTTCCGTAGATCAGGAGCTCTTGAGTATTAAGGTTAGGGAAAGGAAACAATCTGACACCCGGGATGAATCACTAGGCATCCTCACAGAAAACAAGGCAAAAACCACTTCCAAGAATTTCACTGCAGAACTCTAATAGACATCCTGTTGTGAATGTACCATTTCTAGTAAACAATGTAATGATTGTCAATTCTATTTCTCCTTTTTAAGAAAGACCACTGTAGGATGAGAAGAGATACATAATTACAAGTAGATATCTACAGAATTTATTCTGAAAGTAACACACACTATGGCATGAAAAAAGAAACTGTTGGCACGGTCACTTGATATTCTTAGTTGTATTTGTAAATGTCAATGTTCTCTAAAACTACAATACAGAAAACTGTGTTATTAATCCATCTATCCACCCATTTTCGAAAGTCTTTATCCAATTAACCTACAGTAACAGTATGTCTTTGGACTGTGGGAGGAAACCGGAGCACCTGGAGGAAACCCACGCAAACAGGGGGAGAACGTTTTAATATTAATATTAAATGGGAATTTAAAATAATATGTGTACTCCCATGTGTATATTGCTGAGAATTAAACTTTTAAGTTTTTGTAGAATATTTTTTCTAGGTGCTGCTTTTCTGTAATACAGAATCAGACTCCTTCATTCTCTGTATGTATTTGGTGGTGTTTTTCTTCATTCATAATAATATCCATTTTCTTCCTCAGAAACACTGTGAGACAGCTTGGAGGTATCATACTCCAATTACATGACACATGAGAAATACCAATAAGGACTATTTTAAAACTTCATTACAATTAACATGAGGTATTAATAGCTACTGTCTGACAAATGTACTGAACTTCCTCAGGAGGGATGGTGATTTCATTTTTTTTATTGTTTTTTTTCCGAGTTTACTTACACAAAGACTCTTACGTGGACAATCCAGGTCATTCACACAACACATCCAGTACACGAGGCATATACTCAGGTCTAAAAAATCATCCTAGCCTCTTGTGGAAAAAAACTCCAAAGGTAATATGTTTCTATTGAACAGACACTACAGCAACACAGTATTTAAGTTTGCAGAGTAAGATTTTCTTTAAAAATATACAGTAATAATGTTTGTGGATATGGAGCATATCATAGAAATCTAATTATTAGTTCCTAAGTCTCCTAATGGAAAAGCTGAACCATGGAATTCAAAACAGAAATTTGCTGTATTAGTGCCATAACCCAGTGAACCTGAACTGAAACATAACGTGTCTTTTAAGAGAAATAGCTATGCTAATTAAAAAGTAGCACAGTCTTTCAGTGTTCATCTGCATAATGTTTCTGTTTTTAATCATTTCACCATGTATTCCAAAGAACTAGTGTTTTGCTAAATTTGCTTGAACGCTCTTCTATTTGTCCAGTTGATTCAGGAAGAATATTTACAAAAGGTGATACAGCAAACAGCCAGCAGGTAAACCACACTGCTTAGTATTATCTTTTCCTTCCAGGGGATTTTCATATTTGCAAGTAAATACTTCAGTTGTGCATTGGTATTCTGAATTTCTGAAAAAAATCGGAATTTATGCTCCCTACTGAGTGGAAATAATGTTCTAATACAGGCCTCTTCTTAGTTTCTATACCTTATTAGCCCTGATAGTCTGCATCACTTGTCATAAATAAGGCCCTTATACAGGGAGAAAAACATATGAATTTGAGTATGCTGCTTTTAAAATGTGCAGCAAATTATGTATTTCATACTGGAAATTCTGCTGTTTCTGCATTGCCTGTTCAGAGATTCAAATCCCTCATAAACAATCCATCTATCTTTCAAAAGCAAGCATGAAAAAATTAACAAATTAAAATTGATTACAGCATCACATATCCAAAGCATTTATTCTCGAGTCACGGGAACTTTAACTGCTTCATTTTTAATTCCTTAAAGCAATGTGCTGTTAATGGCTACAAAAACAGCAGAGCTGGCAACCAACAAGACTGACCTGCTACAAATCATTAAAGTTCCAGGAAAGATCATTTATCTCCAAGTAACAGATGGCTGTATTATGAAAGTGATTCACATATGACTCACTGTTTATACACTAGATTATACACATTATCATTTCATAATTGCAGTGCACGTGATGTATAAAGAAGAACAACAAAAAGTTCAGAAATGCAGATGAAGAATACAATGTTATTTTACATGTCAAGGAGCAAGCAAAATTTTTAAAGCGGTCAAAGTGCCTCTTTTAGCTTGTCATCCACACGCCATTCATTCCAAACGAGTTTATACACCAATGGGGGGAACTTTCTCCAATCCCATGTGCCTTACTGCAAACAGATGCAAAAATGCGCTGGATAAAATATAATGAGAATTCCTCATTGAAGTGATGGAAAAAGCAGGTAAAAACTCTACATTAACATCTATCAGGGGTAGAACATTGCTAGTGTAGTACAACTCTACAGTATGTAGTGATCAAACCTCTATTACATGGAATGTTATGGAAACAATAAGAACTATGAGGATCATTCATACAGAAATAAGATTACAAAGCACAGCCAATATGGATTCAAAAATCTAGGTCTTGCTAAATCAACTTGTTAAGAGTTCTCTGTGCAAACAACAAGAATAATGGACACACACGGAGCATATGATGTGGTGTATTTAGACTTACAGAAAGCATTTGATAAATTTCCTCATAAAATATTAATTTTCTAATTACAGGTGGCAGGCATTCTGGGAATACAAAATAGAGGGTTAATACAAAATAGAGGGTAATTAATTTATAATAATAAATAAATTTAGCCAGCAGCCATATCACCCTGCAACTCACAACTGGCAACCCACTGAAGCTAAGCAGGTGTGAGCCTGGTCAGTACCTGGATGGGAGACCTCCTGGGAAAAACTAAGGCTGCTGCTGGAAGAGGTGTTAGTGGGGCCCAGCAGGGGGCGCTCACCCTGCCATCCAGGTGGGTCCTAATGCCCCATTAGGCGATGTCCTTCGGATGAGACGTAAAACCGAGGTCCTGACTCTCTGTGCTCATTAAAAATCCCAGGACGTTTCTCGTAAAGAGTAGGGGTGTAACCCCGGCGTCCTGGCTAAATCATATAATCCCCATCTATGAATTGGCTTCATTACTCTGCTCTCCTCCCCACTGATAGCTGATGTGTGGAGAGCGTTCTGGCACACTTTAGCTGCCGTCGCATCATCCAGGTGGGGCTGCACACTGGGGTGGTGGAGGGGAGACCCCATTACCTGTAAACCACTTTGAGTGGAGTGTCCAGAAAAGCGCTATATAAGTGTAAGCGATTATTATTAATTAATTATTATTATTATGGAGGGTACAGATAAGGGGAGAATGCAGAATGCTCACATTTGGGTGGTACAATAAGAGGACTACCATAGAAATCTGTACAATGACAACTGCTTTTCCTCATTTATATGAATCATCTACATTCCAGTATAGTTAGTACACTAGATGTGTGCAGATGATATGAAAATGGGTACATCAGCAAACACTTCAAAAACAGCTAAAGATTAAACAAAATGCAGAACTGGGCAAACACCTGCCAGGTGATTTTTAATGCAGACTAGTGCAGAGAATCACATGCAGGTACCATTTAGCAGATGTGGTGAAACAATAAAAAAGGTAAATAAAATGTTCGGGTCTATAGTTCAAAATAAAACCTTTAAATCAAAGGATATTATGTTAAATTTGAGAAGCACATTACTAAGACCTCATTTAGAATACTATGCACTATGTACTAATTTTGGTCACTGTGCTTTAGAAATAAAATTGCTGCTCTGTAATCAGTCCAGTGAAGAGAAATTGTATGACTGCCCTACACTGAGAGGCTGAAAGAGCTGAACCTTTTTAGTCTTGAAGAAAGAAGACTGCAACAGGACTTCATCCAAGTATTCACAATCCTCAAAGTCAACCTAGTGGATGTCTTCAGAATTGAAAAACACAAGCTTGGAAATACAAGTGAAAACTATATGGCAGTTTATTACTAAGAAATTAAAACCATGATACAATACTTTACACAAAGATGTGTGGTGAGTGGAACAATCTACCCAGCCATGTTGAAGCTGACACTATGGTAATTAGCTACCAACTACCATATGGGCAGAATGGCCTCCTTGTTTCAAATCTTTTTACATATTTTTGTCAAGTCACAGTGGTATACAGAAATAGCTCAAGCTATGTCAACATGCGTAGGCTGCAAAGGAACAAGTAAGGGTTTATTACATGCTGAAAAGAGAAGAAAAGAAACAACGTTTCGGCTGTGGAGCCTTCACGCACTCTTTTCTTCTCTTTTCAGCACGATATACAGAAATGTTTTCTACAAATTTTAACATTAAAATGCACTGCAAGATAACACAACATGTGTTCTAAACCATTACTAAATCATTCAATTCTGACTGATTTTATAACACATAGTATACAAATTATTTGATCTTCTGTCAATCAACCATTTTTGAGCTTTACAGCATATCACAAAATCTTACCTTTCAGCAATTCTAAGTTTTTCAGTGCATTAAGTTCTCAACATTAAGCAACAATTTTCCTTTATCCTTTATTTCTATTGCTAAAACTTTTTCAAACCAATTTGCCTACAAAATGCCCTTGGGAGAACCACAAACACATGCCTGGTCTAGTCTACCATGTGGCCTGTCAACACTCTGATGCTGCAAGAGAAAGCATGACGTTTTTCTAACTGGAGATCAGACACAGCTTCCACAAATACATCCAAATCCCACAGGCACCAGGCAAACACTGGTGGGTTTACAAAACTACAGAAAACCTGCAGGGGAGAAAAGGAGAGAAAAGCAGTACAAGTATAAAACACTTTTTCATTTTGTTCAATCATTTCTGAATGGCAAGGGGTGAAAAGGATACTCGACTGGCCACAGAATCCATGGATGATGTACATTAGCCAGTCCGGATGCACTGTTTCCTTGATCTTCTCCAGAAGCTTTACATTCCACACGTATTTTGCGTAGGGTTCATTTTTAATCCCATAAACAACTGCAGACGCCGACAAAAACAAATGTTTGGATGTCCGTCACATAATTAGACTCAACGGAAGATAACAGAGGTCCTCTGGTCAAGCCTTATGGTTGGCTTTCTTAAGTGTAACTTTTATTTGTGTAAAAACCCAAAATGAGACCTACCTTGCGTAGGCAAACCTTCATCCTCGAAGATATCAAAGCTGTCTTGTCGGTTGTGTGTGAAGACCTCCTCAGTCTTCACTAGATCACATGTTGTCTTCAGAAGAGTGAGGTTGTACTGAAGAGAGTGGCTCAGGTCATAGCTGTAGCTGCAATAAGAGTTTGATAGGACAGTTTAAAATGAGGTCAGTATACTTTTAACATATGTCTAAAAACAGAAAGCATAACAAGTCAGGTATTTTATTACTTATTACAGAAAACCTACTATAGTTCTATATTGGTGAAAAACACTGTGACCTCCTTAAAAATATGAAACAGAGAACACATGGGGTAAAGTTAAGTTGATCAAATTAAGAATAAAAAGCTTACACCTCGAAAAATTCTATCATTACTTTATGCAACAAATTCTAATAAAAAGACCAGGATTTGAGTTGTAAGAGCATAATCTGCAAATTAATTTAACTATTATTGCTTGAATTTAAATTAGAAGGTCCCTTATTTTCTTTTTACATTGACAAGAGATAATAAATTAAATTACACATTTAATAGGCGGTGGAACAGAAAGCTCTGTATTAAGGCATTTTAAATTTCATGTCAAGCAAGTTTTTGTCACAATGACATTGGCTCATGTACTCACAGGAGAACATTCATAGGATAAACAATTTTGCTAAAATAAGAGCAGTTCGTTATCAGAGCATGGAAATAAAGCACATCAAACCTCTCGTGTTCTTAAGGTGGAAATAACCAGTTGTTAAAAAAGTGTCGTTATTAACCATAAAAAATATCACGATTTCTTACTACACTGGTAGGATGGAGACAAAAGTGCTACAGCCTGCTACAAGTGCTATAACCTAGAATGCAAGAAAGATAAAATTATAGCCAAATTCACAGCAGTTTGTCAGAGAACACTTAGATATACAGTTAAGGTGACAAGTTCATACAATGAACTAGGAGTGAGTTGATTGAATACATCATGGAAGAATGGTGCCATCCTTCCTGCAGAATTCCAGACACTGGGAGACTCTGTCATGGTGCACATAGGCTGTACTGGCTGCACATGGTGGCCCAATGCCCTAATAAGCAACACTACATTTGTTTTTCCATTTTTGTCCACGACCTGTATCTTTTCATGAGTAGCTGACTTTACATGTTGTCTGTCAGACGACCATCTGGATTTAAGGGCATTCACCAAAACAGTTAATATAGCTGCTCTTAATGAACAAATACCACAACCACCACAAAATTTCCACAACCACCACATTCAGTAGGCTCACTTAAGAATGTGTGTACATTATGTTGGTTGAATTAAGGTCACTAACATCAAATGCTTAAATAAATGCACCATAGTAATTTCAAATAATAACCATGAGCTTTCACCAACACGCATTATAAATGTACAAGTTAACACAGCATACAGTAAACAAGTACATATGATCATTGAATTTAACAGACAACACTAAATCATCACAAGAAAAAACAATAAAAAAATTACCTGAAGTAAAAATTGCTGGACAGATCCACATTTTGGAAAATCCTCACATACCTAGAAAGAGAGAGAAAAGATGAACTTGAGAAAATGTAATAATTATTTTATGATACTGGGGGCAGTAAAAAAACAATGACATGGTCTTATGGGAAATGTTGCAGTAAAGGTTCAGATCACTCCTCTCACCTATCAGAATCCAAAGTAAATGCTTAGGGCATGATTTGGCACATATAAAGACTGTCAGCTATGCCAATGAGAGAGTAGTGTGCCCTGTAAACGTGGTATGGGAATGAACATATGATGCTTATCGTAGCCACTAGAGGGCAATAAACACACAATTAGCGACAACACCCCTTTAATTTAGAGGAATTCTACATGTCTTTACAAAAGGAGCATCGCGCACTTAATCTAGTAATCAAATGGGTTGCATGATGTTCCTGCCTAGGCTTATTTAAACAATACAGAAAGAGACAGGAGCATAAGTTTACTCTGGATATCAGTCATCTCCAGAATGCTTTAAACTTCAAAAGCTCCTTAGCACTAAAAGCTTCAAAACAGCAAAGACCCATCATCAGAACTCTGGTCTATAGAGTAAGACACCACCAAATTGCTCTAATATTTAAATAAGATTTCCTCAGACCTCCTCCAACACATTGGCTTGACCTAAATGGGAGAGAAATTCCAAAAGAACAAGTGACACTGAGGTACAGTAATCTGAATACATTTCATCTAGATTTTGCATTGAAGCAATTTAGAATTACTGTATGGCCACCATGAACTAGAAGAAGATAGACTTAACTGTACACTTGGAGAATGTGTTCAAGAGCTGCTTCCTGAACTACATACTGTCACAGAGCTGTTGCAGACCCTGCACCATCACAGGACATCACTTACACAAACACCCATGGAAGACGTTTATGTCAGAAAATGTTTTGTAGACCTCAAGCATGCGCTAAAACACAATGTGATCACAACAACTATTAGGAATCCCAGACAACTGAAGACTGGAAATCTCCAAAGCAAAAACATCCAAGAGTCCAAAGTTGCATAACTTAATGTCTCACAGTTAGTCATCAGCCTCCTGAGTTCTCCAGTTTTATTAATCCAAAACCATTTATTTACTCCACATTGCAGCCAAACTGTATACCAAGCCAACCAAGATAATCTGTCATCATACAGGCAAATTCACTACTGACCACCAGAAAAGAAACAAATATGGGTCTTTTCCGGTATAACTGAGTCACCTCACAGAAACCATTGATAGGCTTGGTGGAACACCCCACACATTGTGTAAAAATGAGTTGTTACCTTCTATGAATCCTTTATATTTCAGAATGCCTAAAATGCAGAGGCAAACCATAGCATACAGTCACACAGTAAGGAATCAGAAAGTACACTGTCATTATAATAAAAGTAAAACCCTAAATATAGTATCAAAACATTTCAAAAGAAGACAATGTAAAAATACTGTGCAGAAATTAAAATTCTATGAGCAAATTCGAACTGCAAAACTAATGTAAACACAATTCCAAACAGTGCTGATACCTACAAAGCTGGTGCCATTGCATGTAAACTCTGTTTCAAAAATCAGTGAGTCTATCAACACATTGTTTATCTTTAGAAACAATTTAATCAACAGTGACAATCTGATTTTCAACTTGGTCGGTTTGATTTCTCAAAAAGAGCTTTTGGTTATCAATTCTGTTAAATTATTCTATGTAATTTACTTATTCATTCACCGAGATTCATTTGGAAAATATTTGGAAAATGTCATAAACATTCCCCTGAGAACGCAAACTTCACATTGTAAACATGTCAAATACCCAAGAGTGTATTGGATGTGGATAAAAAAGCAAATGTAATGTGCGCTTTCATCAGAAACCAGAGAATCAGCCTGGTGTCATTACTTACATTTCCGCAAACAACATTAAGGACCGGGTTACCTGGCTTCATCAGGATGGGCTATCCGGACAGAGTCATTTGGAATGTATATCATGTTTGTGTCTTCTATTTTATATATTGAGTGTCCACCAATGTCAGCCATCTTTCTTCGCTTTGTGATCAGAATTATGTAATACCCTTCCAAAAATCGTACAAAACCTGTACAACGACAAAAAACAATTATAGTCATTTCAAATTTCACTAAACAGAATATGTGTCACCATTTGCAAACTAAAGCATCAATATATTGCTTCACTGTAAAATCAAACCTTTTGGTCAGAACACTTAGGAATGCATGGACTGTGTTTATATTACAGTTTCCCACACTGAATTTATGCTGTAGGAAAAATACATGATTAAAATATTGTTCTGTTCTGGTTTTAAGTGTTAAATAAGCACTTTCATCAATAAAACGTTTTAAAAAAAAATAAATTTACAGAGATGGAAAATGTCCTGTCCATTTAAGGATGTTAATGAATATCATGTTCTCACTAAATTCTTTATTTATTTTAAACCCATATGTTCATTTTTTTAGAATATTTTAATGAGTGTATGCCTAATTTGTGACATCTTAATAAGCAAGATTTCTCAGGAAGTACCAGATCATACAACATGCAGCACCCAGTGGAAATTTCTGTTTACTCTGCGAAGTGTTGTAAATATACATATTGTGTATTGTGAGTGCCACGTGGCTTCTGTTACCTCATGATGTGGAAGATTAAGAAGCAAGACAGTTTAAAACAAACATTTGTGGGTGCTCTTCAAAGAGTTTGGGAGAGATCCATTGTGCGTCCCTGTGCTCTTCATGTGCATTTTTATTAATCTAAGTTAATAAAAAGGTGTCAGAGTTTATGGGGGTAAAATATACATACGTTTGAGAGAAACCATTGGCAGGGCTTCTTTAAGCAGTTGAATTATAGTTGGAGAGACACCAGCTTCTTGTGTTTAATTAATATTTTAATCATTTTTACTTGGTGCTTGGCTCCAATTTCTCTCCCACTTGCCCAGACAAAATCTGAGCTGGGTACTGTTATCTCTATCAAATGTGTAGCATGTGAGTCAAACAGTTCTTTAACCTCCTTTTGTAAAAAAACAAAAGGATATAAAAGTGTTTGACAAATGAAATGAAATATGAAAAAAACAGCATAACAATTTTGACTCTTGAGAGACAAAAATTAAGTCTGCAAGTAAGCAGGAAATCTGAATCAACACTGGTGTTCAGTAATAAATGAAAAAGGCTTCTATGACAGTGGTTAAATGACTAAGGATTGTATTTTGAAAGTTTAATAATACTAAAAATAATTAATAATTGCTTACACTTATATAGCGCTTTTCTGGACACTCTACTCAAAGCGCTTTACATGTAATGGGGACTCCCCTCCACCACCACCAGTGTGCAGCCCCGCCTGAATGATGCGACGGCAACCATACTGCGCCAGAACGCTCACCACACATCAGTTTTAGTTTAAGCCTTTAAAAGCACAATATGTTTTCAAAATATTTTCCTTAGTAATGTCGTTTTTAACATAAAAAATATTACTAATAACTTTATCCTGGGATTGATTTGTGCGACATCCTGCAGCTCCCACACTATTCTAAAAGTTCAAATGCTAGGTTTAACCCTCCTTATACCAAGGACATATCTGACTTGCAGACAACAGTTCCACTTTCTTTTAAATTGCCTGGAGCACAGGCTGAGTTCTGTGATGAAGGCTTGGCCCTTGATTAGGTCACTACTGTGATTCTCCAAGTAGAGACGAACAATTAGCAGAAGACCATGGAGGGGATAAGGAATTAGCCCCAGCCAGGGTCCTCTCAGCTCTCAGTGACAGCTCCTGGTGCTGTCAGTGAAGGACACTTCTCCGATCGGTGAACCCCTGATACGGGGCTGCGGTGTCAGTGACATGTTAAGAGACAAGTGGCCCCAACTTTGGCCAAGTCAGAGGACTCTGCCTACACTCCCTCCATTCTCCCTTTGCGTCAGGTCGCAGGAATTTATGCAGATTATCTGTTTTAGTGCCTTTTTACTAGGTTACTTTCTATTTTGCCTCATTTTAGAGACAAAAATGGGTGCTCTTAGACCTGCGGCACTACCACTGCAAAGAGAACTAAAAACGGGCCAAATGTGCAACGCAAGTGACGCCCCCCGCAGTCAGGAGCACAAATCCAATGCACTTCCCCTGGCCATTTCCTCTACTGCAGCCTTCAGGGATCTCTGCGCCTCCACGCTCCATTAAAATCACAGACAGTTGAAGCAAAAACAACAACAGGGAATCAGACGCAGAATACAAAAACTGTCATAAACAGGATTACAGGAAACCGCAGGCGATACGCCCAACCTCTTTAAAAGCGTACACGCCATGATGGATGTTACATAAATGGCCTGAGTTTAAATGTGATTAATAAAATAACACAGGCAGTGCCTGCTTATTTCCAATGTCAAAACAAAGACAAAACACCCCTCTCAATCGCTATGTAACATGATAGTAAAATGTGAAGCTACTTGAGGCCAGTTAAACCCGAAAAGAAAGCCACCCACCTCAGTGTCAGAGAAAGGTGCAGACAGATGTCTTTGTCTTGAAGCCGTTTTTCCCAATGATTACTCTTCCTTTCACCATACACTCTGACCTATATATCCTGCCATTTCTGCGTGTTTATTAAGCTTTTTCGAAACAAGATGATGCAAATTTAAAAAGGACAGAGGACTCAATTTTCTTCTCTTACATCAAAAAGAAAAAGGAAATGGCCAACATCAATACAGTCAATACACTGTATATGCCAATAAGTATTGGGTCATAAAAGAAGATAATCAAATAACCAAAAGAACTGCTTCTCAGGTAGAGTAAGAATTATGTGAAGTCCATCCACCTAATTTGAACCTGCTTGTACTGATGAGTTCACGAAGTAAATGATAAAAATATCTTTTAATAATAAAAATAGTCTTCAATCCCAATCTTGTCGTTTAGAGAATAGAATTTACTTATTGAAGGTCAATGTGTCTCCTGGTCAAAAGCTCCAAACATGTTGTTCACTGAGGAGGTTATTATGCTTTCCCATTTCTAATTCATCGCAACTACAATTTTTTAAACCATTTTTTTATCATTTTAAGGAATAATTAAAAAATAAATTAAACTGAAAATATATGGAAAAAAGACCTTAGATCACCAGTGCAAATTACTGGGAAGTACATTTATTCATTATGAAGCAAAGACAATGGGCTAAAGGCAGCATGACTCCTCTACACAGCTTTTAGGACACCTAAAGAAACATTCAAAGAAGCAAAAGAGGTTATATGAGCTCCTTTTGTTGGCAATCCTTCTTTTGTGCTCACATTCTTGCTTAGTTTTACGTAACCTTCCTTTTAAATAAGATGTAGTTAATTAGGTCACATATCTGAAGCATGTGTTTGAGTACATTTATTACATTTATTCAGGGATTCCAGCCTTGAATAAATGTAGGGTAAAAACAAAGAATGGTACAGATCATTAGCACAGTCTGGGGTGCATCCTCATCATTTACTGACAGCTCATGGAGCTTTGCAATGACTATATGCCTACTTTCATGTACATATTTGTCCTGTGATCCATCAATTTACTAGTCTTGTTAGCAAAGCATAGGGTAGAGAGTGGATTGTATTTGTGTTAGCCACATTAGACGTTTACTGAAGACAAAAGATGAATTAGAAAATCATGCTTAAGGCTGGACCAACTTATTAAATATTTATAAAGTTAAAGCACTATTAGACAGAATGTATTAGGGAGATTTAAGATGCTCGTTACTTTCTAGCAGTAAATTCACAAATAGGAAACGTTTCTTTTTTTTTCATGCTAATTTGGTATCTTGTGGTGAAAGTTTTTTTATTATAGAAGAAGAGGTATGAAAAAGTAGATTGATATTACAAAGAAAAGAGTTTTCTTTGTGGATTTCCCAAGCCTGTCATTGGATGGCAAACTGCTTTTATCTCATCATTGCACATACTGTATACTAGTGGGGCAAGGTTGTTTGTAAAGGATTTAACTAGATTTTGTTTGGTCATTGTATTTATTTTGTTTGGGTTGTTTACTAAGTCTTCTACTTCATGGAAAACAGCTGTTAGGCCATGTCATTCTACTTTTACTGAGTACTTCACAGGACATGCTTTCACCTATGGGCTAGACTACGTGCCAAATGGAGTAAAGGATTTAAAGATTCATTTTAAGATCTCAGACATACTGTACAAATTCTTGCTCTTTTGCTTTAGCTTTCCTGCTTAAAGGAAGCAGGTGTCATTCCAGCTTTACATTACATCTTCACCATTTTTTTAACATATGAGCTACCATCTGACAGCCATGTTAGGTGTTTGTGGTATCACATAGACACAAATAAATAAAGAAATCTGCCAGAAGATTTGTTCTCTGGTTTAGACATAGACATATTAAAAACAGCACCGTAAGGACATGTCAGACTGCCCTTTTCATGTTTTTATTTTTTAGTTTGATTTTTCTTAATTAAAAAAAGATGAAAAAAAATATGGTTCTCATGTGTCTACATTTCAACAATTACTGTAAACTTTACAGCGAATGAACAGTATTGTTTTTGAAGGATGCAGCAATAATCTGTTGGCTTCTATAAGAAAAAAAAATAAGACTATAACCTACTACACCACATGGTTGGATCAAAGGTAATAATTGGTAATTACAATATTTGGACAGCTAACACAAATCAGCACCTGTAGTTCTTGAATATATAAAGACAAAATGTTGCAATAATAAACAAATTAATTAAACAGTACACATGCACTGGATACCACAGTACTACTTAAAGAAAGTGGGAATTTGGCAAGAGATTTGGGAAGGTGGTCATCTAAGACACATTTTTCAGAAACGTGTACAATATTTTTATTGAGAACAGCAATGATACTATTGCATGTCCAGGTATGAGCCCATCACAACAGCCAGAAGTCAAAGCCAGCTCTCTGCAATCCTTAAAATCTCAAGCAAAACTCATGAAGCCCTAAAAAAACCCCATTAACTACTCATCTGAGCAGTTTCTTTTATTCATCATGAACTCCATTATCTTTATCTCCCTATTATCCTTCAAGAACCATGTGTCAAATTACTGATGAAAATGTGACAAATCTTTCTTATGCAACAAGATACTGCTATCCTGCCTACAGAGAAAACAAAAGGGATAGGTATTCCAACCATCATCTGCCAGCCTTAGTGATCCAGAGACCAGCGCTCTCCCTAATGATTTATTTTCAAGTACAATTTGGGAATGAGTACAACTTTAGATGGAAAGACTGTACTAGATATAACTAGAAATCCTTTCTAGTTTTCCATTATCTTTCATTGCTTGCTGAGTTAGGCTCCAGCTCCCCTGTACTGTACAAAGCAGTTAGAAAATGGATGGACAGTAAGCATAAAAATACCTTGTGTTTTCTACCCACCAGTACAATAAAAAATAATGTAAAAATACTTTTCTTAAAATTCTTTATTTTTAGCACTTGAAGCTTCAAGTAAGCGACTCAAAAGAGATAGATCAAGATTAAACAAAAATTAAAATTTTACAAATGGTTATTTTGCACTCCCTTTTGCCATTTCATCGTAAGCATGACACAATGTTATTATATACTATTATATTACTATACTATTATTATATAAGTGGCTGACAGAGCTCCTGTACTTTTCAACATAACTAAGATATATAAAGCATACCAGGTCTAATAATTGTCCTTTGTCTGGGATCTGAAGAAGTCAAATGAGCCCTGGTATGACTACAGGCCACGGTAAGAGGTGACAGGAAAGTTTCTAGAGGTTCTTACCCACAATACCATAAGCTGATACCGCTTTTGATAAACCTGATGAGCCTTTCTGTCCAATTTTAGTCCTGTTCCCCAAATCCAAGCGCCCCAAAAGCTCCCTGACTTCTTGTTGACTGTAAACGTGCTGTAGAGTAAACATAAAAAGGCAAAAACAGGCAAGAGTGTTATGAAATATCTCATTATTACAGACAGTACAATAGTTTGAAGCCCCATGTTCACAAAACCTTGGTGTCCAAATAATTACCTGTCCAGCTCACATATACATTACCCTACATTTACTGGCAGGATGCTGCATTAATAGGAACTCAAGAAAAATCCACTCAAAGCTTACCCCCTGTAAAAGGTCTGCTACAACTGCAATGATATGTCATTTTTAAATGTTTAAAATCTCTATTGCTTCATCCGACACCTTCTAAAAAATGAATGTGGAACATGTGCAGTATCTTGATATCAGAATGAGACAGGATTCCAATAAGGATGTGTAAACACTGCTATTCAAGGGAAAAATACTAAAAGACTCTGAAGGAGAATATACACCTTGTGAGGACACTCACAATTAGATACTTATGACAATGACTAAGGTTTTTCATTTGACAAAAAAAGACTTCAATAAAATTATCACAAAGCAGCTGGTGTGCTTCTTGGTCAACTTATACTGTAACAGCAATGTGAACAGCCTGTTTGAAAAGATTTAAAAAGCAACACATTACACCATTGTACTATGGAGACTAGTACACATGCTTGACATAAGAAGGTACTTCAAGATTTGATTTGAAATCTATGAGGAATTGCTTTCTCATAGTTAACAATCAAGAAACATTGCACTGGACACAGACATTCTTTTCAAAGACTAGGAACTGCTGAGGTCTAGAACGCAGCCTCACAGGGAAGAGAGTGGGTTACATAATCTCAGCGAGAATGAGAAAAATCAAAAACAATGTCATCTTTCAGGTCCAGAAATTTGCATAATTGGAATTCAAGACTCAACAGCGCTGGCAAAGTGTACTGCAAACAATTTATATTCAGGCCATGAAGAAATATTGCACAATATTTTGTGAACCAAATAACATTAGGCCTCTTATCACTTAGCATGTAGCAGCCACTGTGTACCTACCTTATCATCAATAATAACCAAGTCCTTCGGCTCCGTGCGATCAATTTTCAAAACACGGTGTTTGGTTTGTGCATGATTACTTCCAACAAGAAAATACCTCTGAAAAAAAAGGGATAGCTCCATGTTTTAAGTCATTTCATCCCTGCTTAATCTGCATGATAAAAACATGTTCTCCTATTTATAAACCGAAGAAAGCACAATATGGATAACAACAAAACAAAGTATCAAAACAATAAGAAAGAGCAGTCAACAGGAAATGTGCAGAATTAAACAAATTAGTAGAAAACATTATTAAATATTATTACATTACCAAAATAATAATGACATTATTAAAACATAATTAAATAAGCTATCCTAAGAGAAGTATTCCTGTTAAGATAAAAAGACAGTGCCTTCAGAAAGTATTCACCCCCATTGATTATTTCTTGTTCCATTGTTGCAAAGTCAAATTAAAGAATATTTAAAAAGGATTTTTTCCACTCCCGCAGAAGTAATTTTCTATAATGTTAAAATGAAATAAAGTATTTAGATGTCTTCAGAATTATATTAAAAATAAAAATCTGAAAATTACTTAATTGATAAGTATTCACCCCCTTTATTTTAACAACCTAAATCGGGTGAGGTATTCAATTATCTTGAGAGATCACACTAAATATGTTAACAAGGCATACCTGTGTTCCTTTCGAAACCACCTGTGTTCAATTGCTTGATTGGACAATAAATATCAATGACTTTGTGAGGTCTCAACTAAAACAGTAGATCAGATAAGTCCTGCTGTTATGAAGACTAAGGAGCTGCCCGTGGAACTTCGAGATGAAGTTGTCAGGAGGAAAAAAGCTGCAGAAGGTTATAAAAAGATTGGTAAAGCTTTGAACCTTCCTTGGAGCACCGTGAAGTCCATTGTAACAAAATGGAAAAAACATGGCACAACCCAAACACTACTAAGATCAGGCCATCCTACCAAATTGAGCAACCGGATAAGAAGGGCAATTGTCAGAAAAGTGACCAAGAGGCCAGCTACAACACTGACAGAATTGCAGAGCTCTTTGGCTGAAATGGGAGAAAAAGACATCAACAATCTCTTCAGCAGTTCACATATTCGGCCTCTTTGGCAAAGTCACTAGAAGGAAGCCACTTCTGAGAAAGGCCAACATTAAGTAACGCCTGGAGTTTGCTAGAAGCCATGTGACAAAACCTAAAACCTTTCGAAAGAACACTTTGCGGTATGATGAGACTAAAGTTGAGCTATTTTGCCTGAAAGCAAAGCGCTATGTTTGGCGCAAAACAAATACAGACCAACACTCAGGTAACACCATCCCTACCGTCAAGCATGGTGGTGGTAGCATCATGCTCTGGGGTTGCTTTTCAGCAGGAGGAACTGGAAAGCTTGTTGCCATCAAGGGCAACATGGGTGGAGCCAAATACAGGCAAGTCCTTGAGGAGAACCTGTTCAGTCAGCCCGAGATCTGCATTTAGGGCGAGATACATTTTCCAGCAGGGCAACGACCCAAAGCACATGGCAAAAACTCACGGCTGTAATTGCTACTAAAGGACTACGTACAAAGTACTGACTCAGGGGGGCAGGGTGAATACTTTTGTAAATGAGAAATGTAAGTCTTTCATTCTGGAGAAACTAACGTTCTTGAATAAAAAATATTTTTTGATTCATAAATGTGTTGAATTTATTGTGTTATCCAAGGAAGAAAAAAATATTTCAATGTGTTAAACTTTGGAGGTGTACAGGAACAAAATGCAAAAAAAAGTCAAGGGGGTTAATACTTTCTGAAGGCACTGTAGGTTGCAGGCTATTTAAAACATGTTTTAAATAACCTTGTAAACTCTTTGACTACCATTACCACTAGTACTACTAATTATAATAATTCATTGCTTTTTATCCCAAAGTGTTCTACAGATAGGCAGGACTCATTTCATCTACCACTGAAGTGCAACCCCCACCTGGAGACATGCAGCAGCTATCATGCATAACTAAAGTACAGAATGAGAACAATTTAACACCTGTTACTCTTTTTAACATAACTTGCATTCTCAGTATTATATATACACTATCAGAACAAATTAGTTCTTTTTTCGACCCATGCTTTTGATATTGTAGTTTAATCAGCATTTGGTTTTGATACAAATGATTTTCATTATTTTTTTCTTTACACTGCTTATTCTCTTCAAAAAAGCCCAACTGACAAGGCAAAGGTACAGTACGTTCAAAGTGGTACCTATGATTTCTCCTAAATTTGCTTCTGAACAAGAGATAAGTATGCACTATTACATTCATGGGTTCTGTAAGAAAATTTGAAACATTGCTCATTCTAAAAAATACTAAACTAGACCAAAGGCATTTTGACTGTTCTTTAATCCCTTTAACCCTAGCCTCAATACTAACATGAGACTTTTTGGTAGATTATACTGTAGCTCTTAGTTAAAGCAATTCTGTAATGTAATCTGAAAATAAATTATGAGCATTTCAGACAAGCATCTCCATCATAGAAGTGATCATGTGGCTGATTGAACAGGTAATCGTAAAGCAAATCTTGTTACAATGTATAGATTGATAAAGGTGTACTTAACCTGTTTCGCACAATACTTTTCCAAGCCTACTCTGTGCTTTGGTCCAGTACTTTTATTTGCTGCCACCTAGTGCTTTTTCATTGAACTACAGAATTAAGATTCATGCGCCCGATGATATGCACAGGCAAATCAAGGATACTCGGTGGAAAAAAGTATACATTTGAATTTAAAAAAAGTATATTAATAATGTTGATGTTACAACAGTAGGTAAGAAAGAAACATGCAAATGGCATAGTTTGTGTTTGCTTTCAAACTTTACAAGGGTAGTTATCAGACTTAAAATATGAAATGCAACTGCACGGCTTGAATGTGAAGGCATACCTATAATTGGAATACTTATGCACGGGCCATGACGTCATTGACCTTCAAAATGTTAAATCCTGGTGGAAATCAAGACGTAGAAAAGAACAAACGTGTCCCATTTATCGAGAGAGCAATGCCGGCACGTGGGAGGCTTCAATAGTCACCTCAGGTGGAACTGCCAGCAGATGTCCCAAGTCGTCTTTAGTGAAGAATCAGGGGTTATGCAGAACAACCTGACGGACATCAGCCAATGTGGCATAGACACGCCCGAACAATATGCTAACGGTTGTCTACAACTGACCAATCAGTGAAGAGGTACAAGTATCGTGGTCTGAGCTGGAGTGTCTAGTCACTAGAGAACTACTCGTAGTGACTGATGTCAGTCTGACTTCACTGCATGACACTGATCAGCTGTGTGGACCTTGCTTGCTATGGGCTCACCTTCATATGACAGCGTTACAGCAAGACAAAAATTATTCTGGTTCTGCAGCGATGTTTTGCTTTTTTCATAAGACAAGAAGACACATTTACAAAGACAGTTATACCCTAGAGGCTCTTCCCTCTGGACCTGGGCCGTTTTAAACACTTGTGGGGTGGCATGAGGCATCCAAGACTCATAGACCACTGTATAGACACATTCTTAACCAGGCTCCGAGAGAGGAAAGGACAGGAACACAGAAGATAACATCGCATATACACTGCTTGAACTGCTTCCAGCACTGCCTCCACGGGCAACCCCTAATTATGACAAATGTTCACCAGCATAACACATTTAGCTATGACACGTCTAATTGTCAAATATTTTCTGATGTCTTTTCAAAAGATTTTCTAAACTTCTACTCCAGTGAAAAAGTCTAGCTATTTCATCCTGAGACACATGATTTAAATGCTTTAAAAAATTATATACAACATATACATAAAAACAACATCTACTTAAGAGTCTCACATCAAATATCTTTGGCTGTCTTTTCAGGACACGTTGGTCACAAACAGCTTCAAGGCCTGCCTTACAAAAAACACATATATACAATACCACATAGAATCAATATTTTGCAATATATTGCTCACAGAAACTGGATAAGGTCTAGTTTTTTAAACAATATTCAATTGAATATCACATGGATGCAAATGGGAAGTACTGTACCTATAGAATGAAAATGCTCATTTGCGCCCACTAGTGAAAGAAATAGTCGCATCGTGAATGTGCCTAAACACAACAAATTAAATTATACCTGGGATGACCATCTACAGTGAGTAACCAAGTTCAAATCATTCTTATTTCTGTGTTTTGATGGGTTTTGCCATTTGCTAAACATTCTCTTATATCTTAAAAGTATATAAGCCCTGTCTGCCAAACACATGGGACAAAGGCACAGAAGGAAAAGTTATGTACCTTCAAATTCCAAGCAACATGTGTATGAAGCCACTTAAATTGCAAATAACATACAAAGGTATCAGCAGGTAGTTAATAGAAAATGTGGCTCTCTTCATAGAACTGTAAATTACTCTTAAAAATGCCCTCACTTTTAACATTTATGGAGCATTAATTCTTATTAAATTACAATTCATATTGTATTTCTTTCAAAATCTACTGTCTTGGGGCTTATTGTGATAACCTTCACTTACACAAGATAAACATTTCTTCCAATAAACAGGTTAACCGTTACTTACAGCTCTTGTTTCATACAGAACCAGCTTCTGCACACAGCTGATGACTGGAGCTGACAGAGGCATGATGATGGAGGCGTTGTGAAAATACCTCTAAACTCCTGAGAACTGTACTTTTCAAAGGCTGTAACCACCAGAAAAGAGGAGACATGTACTATTGTCAAACCAGCGTCATGAAAAACAGCTTACACATTAATTCTGCAAGATATGTTTATATAATGATCCAAATGTCTGGTGGACTAAATCAAGACGTTTTCCAAGTTGTTGTTTTTTTCCCCCAAGTTGTACAATTACCTCAAGTAAGGAACTCAAAAACTATAAACATTCACATAATTCCCAAAGTTACAGATTTTACTTATAGACACTGATTTTTTCTGCATTGGGTTTAACTAGAAAAATTCGCCATTTTCATGTATTTATAGATAGAGGCTTTTTTATGCATAATATTCGTAACCCCATATGGACTACTGTAAATTTAAGTCGGTGTTGTACGCTATCAAATGTACATCTTTTTTACAGGTTTGAATCCAAATACTTAAAGAAAACATTTATATTGTCAATACGAATAACTAATGAATAAACCATTATTTGGTTTCCTGAAAGCTATTCTCACCCATTTTGGAATGTAAAGTAAAGGTATATGCTAAGCCAAAGCGTGACAGACCCGTAATTATTAACAAATAATTTCAAGGTTTAAAACGTAATCAAACGATTCCTTCTGCATTATCATCCAAAACTATCGGAACAGTACAAGAAGCAAGGAGAGATTCCGGTAGCACTGCTGTATTACCTACGCTATCATTCTGTAACCATTAACATACACACTGTTGACAAACACGGGTCACTAACTTTAATGCAAAATAAAAAAGCTCAGATTTCAGACGTATATGAAGAAATACCGAAAATGACTAGCTTAAACGGAATAAAATGAAATACCTCGTAATTAATGCGATCATGTGATTGTCATGGTGCCTCTCAGCTGAGACGGCGTGTCGCTCATCCAAACAGAACGCGTGTGAAGAAAGCGATTTCGAAACAGTAACTGCCCAGGGGGTGACCTAGCGTTAGGTACCTAAAGTGCCCAGAATCACCGGGAAAAAGTGTTATAATTGAATTCATTGTTCAATGCTGTTGCTCCTTGCCTTGCATAATATCAAATAAGTATGATAAATACGATATTCTGACTTTGGATTAGAACCGTGTTGAAATTTATTGGATCTGTTAATGGCATATCAACCAACAATAAAGCACTTCGAAAAGTCCTACATTTTTCTTCAAATAATCGTTGTGTTTTCAATATTGTAGTGAATTTTGTTTGCGGACTGATTCTTTCTATAAGCCTACACACAATCCACTGTGATTTTCTTGAGTTCTCATTTTAAGAATAATAATTTATTGTGTCTTGTGTCTGTTGTCTTCTTCGTATAAGAACGGTTTATTTAGCTACAATGTTCGAAGGCAATACAGATTTCCAGATGCACTTTTGTAAAACGCTCATGTTATTCTATAAAATTTGAATATTTACTCGTTGTTATTATTAAGAACATTGTGAAACTACAATTGAGCAGTTAGACTACAATTCCCAGACCTAATAATACAAAAAGCAGTGCATTTCTGGAACCCATTTCCGGTATCGCCATGGTTACGGATGTACACAAATCTATCTCAAAGAAGCGAAATGAAGTTGAGTGTGCATAGATAAGAGAAGTAAGTAAATTTGTGAATGCAAAACTTTAATTTCATTTCAGTTTCCTTTTTTGGCTAAAGTTTACATTTGTTCGACGTGGATATTCTAAATAGTTAACAACTGTTTTCTTATATAATCGTCAGGAAAATGAAACACAGCTAATTTCATTTTATGGATAGAGATAGCTGATGTATATAAAATGTTATCATAACTTAGATACAATGAAGAGTAATTGTAAGCTATTTCTCAAGTGCAGGAAAACGCATATGCTGTTGGCCACAGTAATACAATCTTACTCTTTCGTATCTAATCATAATCTCCAGTTATTCTGAATTCTGTATACTCACAATATTCAGTACTGTACGGCTTCTAATTGTTGCAGGTACTGTATTTTATAGGTACCTGCAATGATCCTTTCGTATCAGATATCTTTCAGAGCTCCTCTCCGTCACAGTGTTACAGTTCTCAATAAGACATCAACTGTACCTTCTATCGGATTGCCAAACTCTTTAAACTTAGTAGCTTTTTATAGGCCATAACCTTTATTTGCTGTATTTTTGCTTTTAATTGAAATAGCAAAGGAAGCTTAAACTTTGCACATATAGTAAGGACTGTACTTCTTATTTTAGTTTCTCAGCACTAGACTGGACAAGACTCTTGTTTCTCTTTTCTTATTGTTGTTACATCAGAACAAAATAATTGTTTCAGATGAGAAGTGGCATCAAGTTCATCCAGCCTATTTGGTTGCTAGTAGCTAATTGATACAAGGGTCGTGTACAGGCATTTCGTGAAAAAAACTCATTATAGCTTGTTCCAGACATAATTCTTTCTTTGTTCTCCCAGCTTTTATCTTCTAATATGCTTCGGTTTCCACAATCAGCTTTGCAGATTACCTTGCCACCTCTTCCCTGAAGTGAAATTTTAATTGCACTTACTGCTGTTGTAAAGAAAGAAGACAGAATATTCAACTTTGTGAAATTTCACTCTCAGAGCCCATATTGTGACCAGGGTGCAGCACAAATACAATACTAGTTGAACCATGTAAGAGTTCATTCAGTGCCTGGAATACTACTTACTGTACAATGAAAACCTTACTGCATGTAAAGACAGTAGTGATTAGCACGTAGTGTTAATGTGCTCAGCAGCTTTCAAGTTGCTGAATTCTCACTTTAAAACTGTATGTCTTTTAATTTATACAAAGTGAAAATATTTTTTTTTATTTCTTTCTAGAAAATGGAACCAACAGAGCCTACAGAAGTCTCAGAATCAAATCCCTTTGTTGACTGTCTTAATGAAGATGAGTCTGAGAGAGAGTTTCTGCAAGCAAAACCCACTTGTTTTATAATTATTGGAAAACCAGTAAGTTTTCAGTATCTGATGTGCAGCTTTCTCTCATTAGATGTAATTGTGCCAATAGGAGAAAATCACTGACTGACTTACCTATCCTGAATTTTTTTATCACTTCGAATATGTTATACTGTAGGTCAATCTACTGTATTTTCCCTTAAGGCTAAACTTGCCAATAACCAACTGTGCAGATATAACATTTCTTCAGTGTATCAGTCTGACAGTAAATCCCAAAACGTGTGTTCTGATAATGCATTATTACAAAGAGAAATGTGATGCAATAAAAATGAGAAAACCCCTCCTGAAGACAATGAAATAGACCATGTCAATTATTTTGAATTCACAAAAATTGAATTTGTTTTACAGCTCCTTATGGTTTGATAATAACATTTAGTTACACATGTTTAATAAATTCTCTGTTTTTCAGGGTGTAGGAAAATCGACACTTGCTAAAAGGTTATCGCAGACCTGGAAGTCCATTCTCATTGATGGTAATTAACTCCTGAATATCTATGACAAAGGCATTTATCATGCATTTGTTTATATAGTATGTATTTTGACATACATTTTAGTAGCTATATCACCTTCAAGTCACCACTGGCAGCCCACTGAAGCTTAGCAGGTGTGAGCCTGGCCAGTACCTGAATGGGAGACCTCATGGGAAAAACTAAGGTTGCTGCTGGAAGAGGTGTTAGTGGGGCCAGCAGGGGGCGCTCGCCCTGTGGTCTATGTGGGCCCTAATGCTCAAGTATAGTGACGGGGTCCTTAAAAATCCCAGGGTGTTTCTCAAAAAGAATAGGGGTGCTACCCTGGTGTCCTGGCCAAATTCCCATTGGTCTTTACCAATCATGGCCTCCTAGTAATCCCCATCTATGAATCGGCTTCATCATTCGGTTCTGCTCTCCACTGATGTGTGGTGAGTGTACTGGCACACTGTGGCTGTCATCGCATCATCCAGGTGGTGGTGGAGGGGAGTTTCCATTACCTCTAAAGTGCTTTGAGTGGAGTGTCCAGAAAATCACTATATAACTGTAAGAAATTATTATAATTATTATTATTATTATTATTAACGTTAATATGTTGCTTTCAGACACAGAACTGATCAATCATCACATTACAACACAGACAGACCATGGCCTCAAGGTAAATGTTATAAATTTCCAATGCCATAATCTAACCATATACCGTAGAGTTTTTTTTGCATAAAAAAATAGATTACATACAATGCCCATCTGTCCTTCATAAACCATTCTGCAAAGAATAAAAGTAAGTGTAAAGCTAGAAAAAAACATTTTGACATTGGCTGGTTACAGAAGCAGCCTCCAATAACTTAATTCTGCTACCACCATCTTTTAGAGAGGGGGTTCTTAACCTGGTTAAGGGAGTCCAGGGGGTGCAGGAGTAACATCGAATTCATTGTGATGCTTTGCAATTGCAATTGTAATAATACTTACCCAATATGCTTCAAACGTGCCGTCAAGATGGTCAAACACCAGACTACTCCTCATCACCCATCGACATAGTGTTAAAATTTCTACTCATTTTGTTTCTGTTCTTTCATGTTCGCAGATCTATCTATTGCCAGTGTTGGTACACTTGTTAACAGTTGCTATACAGTATAATGTACTCAACACTTACAATTTGCCATAAAATAAATATTAAAAAAATGTTTTTTTAACTTGTTTTAGTTTTTGAATTACTAAATTCTTTACTGTTATTGTATCTTTTAGAAAATGTTGCCTTCCAAATGTAATTTGTAATGTTTGATTTGACATATTATATATTTTTAATCCATTACACTATCTAAAAGCACAATCATAACTGATAACCACTATTTTATTGGTGGGGGTGCAGGGTTACCATGTGTTGCTGTATGGAGTGTGGGGCCTCTAAAGGTTATGAACCCCTGCTTTCAAAGTGCCTCATAGTGGCATCTCTAACCAATTTGAATGGGGAACTTCTTTCGATTTTCCAGCATGGAATTAACCTTTACTTCGCCCTGAACAGTTCTTCTTCTTTGCTGGCTGCTCAGGTTTGGACAGGGACAGCCTGATCTCTACATTATTTAGATGATACAATACATTGTGCATTTCTTAATGATCGACTTCAACACAATGGATATTTAGTGTCTTGAAAGCTCCTCATCTGGACCCTCGAATAACTTGAGCCCTGAGTTGCCCTGATAGCTCTTTGGTCTTCATTGTTGAATTCTTCCATTTTCTAATTGTTTTAATCCGAATCAGGGTCACAGGAGAGCCGGAGCTTATCCCAGCAAGCAAGCAGTGGGTGCAAGGCAGGATATATCGCAGGGCAGGCACAGACACACATACTCACACCACGGCCAAGTTTACCAGAAGCCAATTAACATAGCAGTATGTCCTTAGACTGTGGGAAGAAGCCAGAGAACCCAGAGCAACCCAGAATGGGGAAAACATACAGACTCCACACAGATAGCATCCCAGGTCCAGAATTGAGTCCAGGGCCCCAGCACTGCACCACTGTGCCACCCTCATTGTTGAATCCTTGCTTGAAATTCAGTTTCCGACAGAGGGATCTTACATAGATGTATACTCTGAAATCATAAGAACCACTGTGAATGCACATGTCCATTCAACAAATTGTGGGACTTGTCAAAATAATTTGTGCACTCTATTTAAGTTAGGTTTGCAATATAATTAGGTGCATACCTTCATATTTACACAACAGATTTTAGTTTTTTGAGATGATTAGATAATTTTTTTAGTTTCTTTGTTTTCTTACATAATTCATAAAAGTGTTCAGTTTAAGAAATCAAGTTTTACCTTATTCTTGCATTCTTTTTCAAGTTTCTAGAGATTCTTCATGGAGGGAAAAGCATTCCTGAAGAAATGGTGACCGAGATCATTTTAGAAAAGCTCAAATCACCAGAGGTGGAACATTATGGTACTGAATGCATACTGTACTACGGTTGTTGTTTTTTTCAGAAATACTATAATTTCCTTCTAGATTAGCTTGTTTTTGCTACATTTCCTACAATAAATCTTAATTAAAAACGTTAATGAATCTCTTGTGTACTTTCATATGCAGCTTGTTTCTGTTATCATTGATGGCTCAAATCTTATTAGTTATTAGCTGTAACAGTGGCAATGTCCACTAAGACTAAAATCCTACAGCTCAGAAATACCATAATGAAACCCTTAAATTAAGTTCAGTTTTTGATGCTGTTTGGGAGGGGAGCCAAATAAATTAAGCTGTTTACATTGAAAGTAAACATTTATTTTTTGTTTATAACTTTTTCTAAATATACAAGTTGATTAAGTATATTGTGAGGCACCACAATTATATGATTAGCTGACTTGGGAAAGAATGATGCTGTTATTAAATAGATTAAGTTGGAATAACATACAGTATATGATAATCATAAATCCTCAAAACTACTTGTGAGAAAGAGGCAATATATCCTAGTTATTTGCTTTAGATCTGCTTCACCTAATAAATCATCCTTTATCCAGATCAAATTTAAAATGAAATGAACATCCTTCAAGTAAGGATGTAAATTAGGAGCAGCAGTCACAATGTGTTACAGGTAACAGTTCCATTTCCTGTAATGTGGTGATCGTACAAGAGCTGATTAATTTTCATACTTATAATGAAGAAGTGTGTTCAAAATAACATACAGTATCAGCCATATCGGGTAAAATGAGCTGTATCATGCTGATCCCCTCTATAATGATAATAAAGCCATTTGATGTTAAATTTGAGTGAGTTTGAGTGCACAACAAGAAATCATAAAACAAAATAAACATAAAATAATTAGTATTAATACCCCTAATTATTTTTTAAAGCACAGAATTAAGAATAACAACAAGTATGTAAGAAATTCAGAAATAAGAAGGGTTACAAACACCAACAGGCTATTTGGCCCATCTAATGTGTCTTTTAATTAGTAGCTAATGGATCTAATATTTTCAAAAATAATGCAGAAAGTTTTCTTTTAGATATTATTTACTCTTTGCTGGATAAAGACATTTAAAAAATGTATGTACTGTATGTTGTGTGTTTTGTTCTATATCAAGTAACAAGAACATTGTGTCACAGGTTACGTTCTAAGTAGCCTCCCCTCTACGTCAGAGGAGTATCTGAAGATTCCAGAGCAAATAGAGATGATAAAGAACCTGAATCTGGTACCGGATTTCATCATAAACATCAAGGTGCAATTCTTTAATTTGTTTTATCTTTTCACTTTGCAAGTACCACAGCCTAAAATAATATACAGTTATCTTTTCAGCCGTTGTCAAACATAACTGTAAAAAATATGTTTAGTAGTTCTTTACTGGAAAAAGACATTTTAAAAATGTATAAACAGAACAGATTTATAGACAGAACTAATTCTCTTGAATATGGGGTTTCTAAATTTCTCTAATTTTACTTTGCATAAAAATAACATCTTGATTCATATTGAGCACCCTTTCATCAGTTTTGGATAAACAGACCATTTCTGTCCATAAAAGAGGGGACCCAAATTTTCAGCATGTTCTTGATAGATAATATTCTTTTCAGAAAGCTATGGTAAATTTGTATTAGGTTTGCTCTATTAATATTGCAATTTTCCAGTTTTCTTCTACTTGGGGCATGTTTTTGTGGTGCTGATGAGTTTAACCATGCTATCACTGACCTTGTCTGTATTTGGCTGTATTATGATTTGCCATTGTCTAGTCTAGTAGCATTAAGTCATGCAATGGTGAGAAATAGTATTCTAAACCCATGGTAAAATACACAATTAATATTTTTGTAAATTTTCTAATTTATCCCCAATTTGAAAAGTATAAATAAACATTATTAACAATTTAATTCTTCTTGACTGTAGGCCATCAGGTAGGAGAACTGCAAAATACCCTTGTTTTTGAAAGCTGCTAACTACAATCTGAATTAAAAACGATTTTAAAAAAGAAAGTTATGTCACATCTTGTTGTCTCTCATAAGTATGGAAGCCCGTACTATATCGTGTGCATGTGATATTTTTAATTTAATTTTTCCAGTATTGGATTTGGCATGAGTGGAGATGGTCTAGTATTATTAATGTCTACCTATGCCTCCTGTGCACCAGTGTCCAGATTACGACCTAAGCCGCCGGCTCTCTGGACAGCGGCAACATCCTGAAACGGGAAAGGTGTACCAGAAGGAACAGTGGGACCCTGTGAAAAAAGACAGAAAGAGAAGAAAAAGAGTTGGGGAGGAAGAAGGAGAGGAGGAGGAGGAAGAAGAGGAAGAGGAAAACGTGCAGGCAGCAGAAGAGGTCCAATGTCCTTTTTTAAGACCAACCTCACTGGGAGGTTTTCAGAATATACAGAGTTTTTGTCTGGGAAGGGAGATATCAGCAATGATATCCTCAAAGTGAAACAATATTAAAAGGGATAAAAGTCAGCTGAGAACAGGAGATGCCACAAGCTATATGTTGGTGCACTTACACTTTCCTGACAGAAATTATTTCAGATCATTTTAAAGAGGTCTCAGATAGATGTATTTTGTATCTTCTGCAAACCGTTTAGTGATTTTTTTTGTTTTCCTGTTTTATTTATTGATTGATTTACCTACAACCTAACTGACACTGAATGACACCTTTACTCAGACAAGATAACCCCATTCAATTCAGTGCTATTTAGAGTGAATGTTAATGGGACATTCTTTTAAGGGAGAGGAAGGACAGTTCCAGAAAGACATGCATTCTCAGCTTGTGACACGGCCTGAAGATTTCCCAGACAACACCCTGAAAAGAATAGCACTCTACAAAGACACCATGCTTAGACCTTTAGAGGTAGGTAACATTCCAATTTTTTAAAAATTTCAAATTTAGTTGCTTTTCCTAATGTGTCCTTCTTTCCTAAAAATGTGTAATCTACCCATCTTTTTACAAACTGAAGTTTTGATTTACTGTATTGGGATTTTGAATGATAATGGCTGCCAGATTGTGAGTTATAGTAGGCAGCAATTGTTATTTTGCACATCTAATTTTAGATTAACATCTTTGGCAGTATTTACCTTTTTTTAGAAAGTTCTGCACCTTATTGATCATTGTTAAGTACATGGGGTTTGGTCAAAATGCAGTGCAGTGTTAGTTTTTAGTTTTAGTTTTTCCTATAATAAAGTAATAGCCCTATCGCAAGACTCACTATTGCCTGCTCCATTGATTATACTTTTCTTAATTGTGGCTGAAGAAATGCAATGGATGCCTTAAAAAATATACAAGACCTTTACTTATGGATTTGTGCCTTTTCAGGATTATATGGCCGATCATGATCTTCAGTACCTGTTTGAGCTTGATGGAAACAAGAGCCCAACTGAGCTGTATGTGGTGAGTGATGATCGCTGTCACTTACTTTCTGTGCTGCATTTCCACTACTCTTTGGACACATCCTAGTGATTGTATTTGTTTTGATTGATTATTTTGTATTTTGAACGATTAAGGAATCTATCTTTCAATTAAATAATTTTAATTAAACACGTACAGTCCAAGAAGTTTTTTAATTCACTCCATTATGCTGTGAGAAAAATTATAAGATAAAAAGAAATCTGTGTAAACAAATGTCCATTAAATTGATAGACGGGCAGTTAAGTTTCATGGCACTTTTAAAGTGCTGTTATAAATCTACATATTTATCTTGAATGGTAAACTGTGACTAAAGCGACCCTATTCCACATGCCGGGCAGTCGGTGATGTCTCGCCTGGAGACAATGGCGGTCAGGAGTGCCGCCGTACCCATCAGGCTGCTGCAGCTGGAGGAAGAGGAGCTGCCAGAGGAGATCGACAATGTGAGTGGAATTTCACACCCTTCCGGTTTTATCAGAGTTCCCGAAACTCTGCCATTGTCCATCTGAGCCTTAATTCTATAACGTAAAGGCAGTTAAATAAAGATAGAAAACTACTAATGGTAACTCATTGCTTTATGAATTAAATGTATGCATATTCATTTTTATATTTACTTTTATTTGAGACTTTTTTCCTTGTTCATGCTTAATATTAAAATAGTTATTGCTAAACTTTTTTTGCTATGATATTCCTATACTGACTTTTAGGGGATGTGAAACTTGTCATTCCTTTTAACCAGGAAACAGACCAGTTACTTCTTTTACTAAACAAGAATGGCAACAGTCAAGCTGTGAGTGCCATCTGACAGCATAATACAGCCTTCACTTAAACAGCCCTTCCCACTGTCCTGTCTCCTACATTAACTGATACAAAAAGACAAGAAGAGACAAAATGACAAATATACAGCCTGTTTATGTCACACAACCAAAACTGACACCAACCAGGCAATTCTGCTCTGAGTTGTGGTCACAGCTTGGAAATGCAATAATGTCACTGTCGATCTCAGAATCCTTTTATTTGAGTAATTACTTAACAAACCCCTCCTGAGACCTAACTTTTTTTTTCTTCAAAAATCTTTTTTTTTCTATCCATATATTGGTCTGTATCTTTTTCATTTCCATGCGTCGAAACCCAGACAAACAAATCATGCTTCAATCACAACACATCTCTTCTGAAAGAATGATATTTAATAATTTAGTTCAGCAATTTAGCCAGGTAGAAGAAAGTAAGGTGAAGTCTTAGATTTTCCCAGACAAAGCAAGTGCCTCTCAGTTACTAGGACTGGTTCATAGGCATGCAAAACCTGCTTATAAGGAACTTTAAAATGGGATTTCATGCAGCCTGCATGCCAATGTTGGGAATAAAAAGCTTGCAGCTCCTGTCCATGTGTGCGGTTCTTTGTGCAGGAGGAGTTGCTGCGCACCTTGTCATCCAGTAAAATGGTGGCTCCGGGGTACAGGTGGAGAAGGAGCCGCTGGGGTCGTGCCTGCCCCGTGGCTCTGAAACAAGGCAACGTGATCATGGGAAAGCCCGAGTTCTCCGTTGGGTGAGAGGCCTTTGTCTTTGCATGTTTCAAGATGATTTATTTCCTTTCCTACTCACAGAGGAGGAGAAGAAGGACCCGTCTTTATTTTATGGAAATTGTCAGTCCCAAGTATTTTGAGAGCTTTCAAAACTATTATTTTTTGCTTTGCAGTCAAGAACCTGCATCTCAAATAATTAAATAAGTATGATGATCTCAATTGTATTGCCTCAAAGGATATGCAACCAAGTAACTTATACATTTCTGTAAAACACAGTCTTTGTCTTTGGAAAATAGCCACTTGAAATGTACGTGTACGTACGTACATAACAAAGTACGTGTTTGTTACAGGTTACAGGTTTTGTGACAGGTTACAGCTCTTCTTTCTTCACATCAGACACAAGATCTAATCAAGCACTAAGAGCTTCAACTAGAGCCTGACATAATTTCAAGGAAACTAATAAAGCTAGATGTATTAAGACATATACTGCATAATTAATGATGTTACCTAAGTATCTTAATTCAATCAATTCAATTTAGATTAAATTTGTCTTTTGGAAAATAGCCTGCAATATGAAATTAATCATAATTTCTTATTTATTTTGTGAGCAATAGATGCTATATTTTAGATCTCAGTATGAAAACAGTCTCCTATATACAGTACATGCTGTGTGTTTCAATACTAATGCTACTAGCACAGTTCATATACAAACTTACAAATGAGTAGTGAACTATGTGTTCCCAAGGATGCTTTTCTTGGTGTGTTTTCTTTTTACTGATAATGAAAGTTACAGACCAAGGAGCTACTATCAAGATCCATTAAAACCCCCTACCCCTAAAAATATTGGTTTGTATTCTGAAGTATCTGTTGGTGGGCAAAATCACATTTTGAAAAATAAGTCTTTGAAACTAACACTTCTTGTCCTTTTTTTTCTAGATTCCTGGATAAGATCTATGTTCTTTCATCACAAGAAGCTCTACAGAGCTTCATGGTAAACCCACGTCCATACCTGCTTCCACCTATGCCCAGAGCTCCATGCAAAGTAGCAGTGATTGGACCCCCGTCTTCAGGGAAAACCACACTTTGCAGGTTGCTTGCAGGAAAATACAGTGCTAAGGTAGAGTTTAACATTTTAACCACTTCCTTGTCCTGCTTTTAGCATTTTGGTCCATTTAACATTACCCACATGAAATTTATTACACCAGGGTTGAAAATATGTTAAATTAATAAGTGCATTAAATAATAATTATAATTATTATTTAAAGTCCTAAATAAAATATAACATTCAGTTTCAGCTCATTAAAAGTTGTTTACATTTGAAGAAAACCATTTATAGCTGCTATAAAAGAGAATAATTTAAAGAATGGAAAAGAGACATTTTGGAGTTCAAGTATAATTTTAATCAAATAAATGTTTGTTTATAAAATCAGGAGCATTTTGGTTTTTTTTTTCCCACAAAACATTGCAAACAGCATATATTTGAAATGCTAGAAAATACTTACTTTGAATTTTTATTGCAATTTAAAATTGAAATGGACTTGTCATTAAGAGAGAAATCAAAGTTTGCTCTCCATGTTGCTGTTTAAGGTGATAGACATGGAGACACTTGTCCAACCTGTGGTTGCTGAGGAGCGAAAGTTAATCCTGGCGAAAGTCCGGGAAGAAGCAGTGGCTTCTGCAATAGAATATGTGAAAATAAGGGTCCAGCAAGAAGTCCTTAACAGAGATGGTGAGAAATTATCAAGGTCTTACCTTAGAAATTACCTTATCATTTGTGGGCTATGGAAAATGTACTGCAATCTTACGGATAAGAAGTTTAGTAAGGACTGTGTGAAACCATCCTTTGGCACCAATAGTTAATTTCCTGATGGAATACATCCTAATTTTTCTAGTTTTAAATTTTCAAATTCTTTTGGGATACATATACAGTAGCCTCTTTACTATAAATTGGCTGTTCACTGTAAGAAAGTACTCTAGGTTTTCAAAAAATACTTTCTTCACCAGAACAATAACAAATAAAGTGACTCATATTTTTCCTCTCTACAAAGGGGTGCATACTGTATGTTAAGGGGAACACACAATAAAACATTTTTAGACAGACCAAGGAAACAAGCCTGAGCCCACACCACTTCAAATAGGTGTACTATAAAAGGCAAATCTATGCAGGGCTTTAAAATTGCCAGACACACTTAAAATAATCTCTCTGCCTGTTCTCTGGTTATAAAGCCATCTCTAAAATTTCCATTTTCTTTCAAGGAGGTTATTGATCTACTGACTAGTGGCTTATAGCAATAAACCCTGCTTCTAAACTTGATTGCTGGAAATAACAAAATGGGATTACTAGGCTTTAGCAGAGCAGTAAACCTGTAAGGAAAAAATTCCCTCTAACCTTCATGCAGGGGAAGATACTACTAAGGCAGCCCCAGATGAGGAGCGTGAGTTTAATGGCAATGGGTTTGAACCCGGCCTCCCAGCCTCACCTACTGAAAAGAATATGGAAGGTGAGTTTCATCTGATCCAACTCTGTGAAATATATTTTTGAGACCCGTTTACACTAGTCAGGTATCTAGCTGGAAATGTGAGATCTGATTGCACTGATGAAAATCCTGCTTAAAAGCCTGTTTTCAGTCCCAGGTGAAGTCCTAACTTTGAAATGAATACTCTTGCAAATAAATTACCCTTGTGTTGCAGTTTATCATATGTAACTTATTTGCTATAAAAATGGTATCTGCCTAAACGAGCAAGCAGCTGACAAGTAAGAATTTGCCATTCTCTTACATGTCACAAGAGTACAGGTACATGTAGTTACTGCTTTGAACCTATATTATGAACCTCATTAATTAAAGTATATTTCTACATTACTAGAGTCATTGAGATTGTTTCTATTTTGTGCTTATTAACAAGTCTATTATAAGTTATTTTGCTAATACAATTACTTGAAAAATAAGAGTAACCTACTACAGTTAACTTCAATTCTCAATATATCTTGAATACGAAATCTTTGTGATAATGATGCACAGAAAATATGTTAACAAAGTAATTGTTTCTGCTTTTAAACAAAAACATTTGTACAGCTGATCTATGCAGGATTGTCTTCTGATCCTCCAGTTTAGGAACTCTTTATCTTCATTCCTATAAGGATAAGTATAAGTATAAGTATAAGTATAAGTATAAGTATAAGTATAAGTATAGTGGGTGATGATATAGTGGGTGTGCTAACTTTAAGAATGATGTAACATGCCACATGGTGGCAGTCAAAGAGCACATGGGTAGGTCTTAACATTTGTTTAAATAATCATCCTTCTGCTGAAGTAGACAGTGCATCACTTCCAGTGGAGGTGGAAGAGGCAGCTCCTGTCATGTCTGAGGGGCAACCAGAAACAAATACAGCTTCCTCAAGTGAAAAGGGTGCAAATGAAGGTGAGCTTTTACATTCATTTTTAAAACTTCGTTTTACAGTAAAACATTTTTTTTTCCAGAAAGAGAGGAGTTTTGCCAGATAAGCCTGGAAAATGAAATTGTGCATCCATCCATTTTCCAAGCCACTTTATCCAATATAGGGTCGTGGGGAATGCCAGAACCAAACCTGGCAAGCAACAGGCACAAGGTGGGATACACATTCAGTGGGACGCCACTCCATCACCGGGCACACACAAGCACAAACTGCGCACACTCACACCAGGGCCAAGTTGTCCAGAATTAACCTACCAGTATGTGTTTGGACTGTGGGAAGAAACCGGAGCACCTGGAGGAAACCCACACAAAAACAGGGAGAACGTACAAACTCCATGCAGAAAGCACCCCAAGAATGGAAGCAATGTACGAGGCAGCAATGCTAAAAACTACACCACTGTGCCACCCATATGAGCTTATATATACCATAATTAATCTATTTGAGACTAAAGCTATCCCACTTTTTAACTATAACCTTCCAGTGTATAAAGCTAATAATTATTACTTTTATTCGTTGATATGATATAGTTTATTTAAAATGAGTTATACATTTACACTGAAATGCATGTGATCAGAGAATATAATCAACTTCACTTTAGTTTCATTCCTTAACAGCTTTTGTTAAAAGGGATCAAAAGCTGTCCAAAATAAGGTTGATATTAATAATATAAGATATATTATTTTAATTTCATTAATAACTATTTGTTTAGGTATGAAAAGATTTTATTAAATCAATATGCTTGAGGGAAAAATATTTAATAATATAGTTTTATATATATATATATCTTTGGTTCTCTGTGTTTCCTATGTTGTGTTGTTTACCAGAAGAAAATGTCTTACTGACCTTTGTTGGTACAGTACATCAAGGGTGTAACTGAAATGAAATAGATACCTTAAAAACACAATCTATTCTACCCAGTTAATAGACCCAGGGACCTTTTAGGTGTACAAGAAAAGTATTTTTAATTTTTAAATACACGGAAAACTACACTCTCATGAAATGTTTAAAAAAACTAAAATTGCAGTGGTGTTACAGAAAAGGTGAGGTTCTCCTGTCATTGTAGTGCTAGAGGTGACAGCTGAACACCCTGAAGTCCAGGCTCTTGTAAGTGAAGCTGTTAAGAAATCAGAGCAGAACCCTATCACACTCTCTCCAGAAGTGTATGTGGACATACTGGAGAAACACATCAAGCAGGTATGTAGAGAAATGTTTCTCAAAGAAAAGTGTAATATCAATCTCAATAAATGTACATCCCATATGTTCAAAAATGTTTGTCCTTATAATAGAAGTGCCTTATGGCTCTTGCATGGAGCATAGATTGAGCTCTATGGCCCAGATATCACTGTTTCAAAGCTGGGGCATGTCTCTAGCTATCTGTAAGTACAGTTCTCCAAGAAACTGTGCAGTGTTGGATTACTGCCTGATGGTGTTGGGGATTAGTCTGATTAAATTAGATTAGACAATTCTGAACAACAGTAACTCCTGCGACTTGCTGGGTACCTGCATGCTTGCGGTGACATCAGTGAAAAACAAACAGCTCCTCCAATCAGCACCAAATCTCCAGGCGGGTGCTGTGGAGCTTGTAACGTGAAATGATGAACATCTCTGCTGGTGAATGTGTTAGAGGAGCTCCTCCATATGTTCCATTCTGTCCCAATTAAGCACAGTAATCATTGCCAGAGAGCTGAGTCTTAAACGTTAGTAAATCCAAATTGGGTAGGTTTGTTATAAAAAAATATTGGTGCTTCCAAATCTAGAAAAAATAAAAATGCCATTTCATAATTAATACATGACAGTGGTTGAGTACTTCAAAGAGATAGTCTTCCAAATGATTTTGTTAATTGGTTCCTAGAACTGCTGTAGATGACTATTGACAGTGAAAGTTTTATTAACTTGGGTGTCTAACTGATGTGACTGTAAGTTATTAGCAGACATATTTATCTTTTGCAGAGACAACTGGATACTGAAAATCAGACTGCAAGAGGATGGGTGTTGGATAACTTCCCAAGAAACAGAGATCAATTGATATTCATGCAAGAAAGGGAAATAATTCCAGATATGTTTATCTGCATAAGAGACAGTGAAGAAGATGGTAGGAAGATCTAATTTAGACATACTGTACCTGTAGGTTTTACAAGCAAGGGATGAATGCCCTGATCATGAGTATTCAGTACTGACATTGCTTGTAATTGCTATTACATCGGGATAATATGTCTTTACTTAGGAATCTCACAAAAGTCTAGAGGCAGTTTTCATTTATCAGCTTTGCATGTGGCACCTGCTAATTGACTTCATTGAGTGAGTGAAGGTATGAATGAGTACCTGCAGTGTTTCGTCCTTGAGTAAAAGAACTGCTTAAACATGGTTGTGAGAGCTAACATGAAGCTTTGTCACATAGGAGATGACAGGTCTCATAGTGTAAACTGTTGTGATTATATTACCCAGGAGTAATCAGATCTTTAGAGGAGTAAGGTTTTGGAGTAAAGACCTTTTGGTGTGCCTTTGCCAGGTCTATGCAGGTTGAGGTAACTCTAAAAGACAGCTGTTCCAGTCCAGAGTCTGGACCATACACACTAGGTCATGTAACAAGAATAGCTACTGAAGCTGTGAGATATCTATAAGCAGAGTGTACTCACATTTTGTCATATACAGTATGAAGATGTAAATAAAACTAAAGACATGTATATATACTGAAGGGAAACAGGTGTTGATTAATGTTCCCCTAAAGTTGTTTTCCAAAATAACATATTAGAAAAATATTTATTTTGGATGTTGAAATGCAACTGTATTTCCAGATAATTACACTAATGTTTGAGTAATGATGGATTATGGATTTTGAATATAGATTAAATATTTTTTACCTGATTTTTGTTTAAATGCACATTGGTGATGGTGGAGGGGAGTCCCCATTACCTGTAAAGCACTTTGAGTGGAGTGTCCAGAAAAGAGCTATATAAGTGTAAGAAATTATTATTATTATTATTATTATTATTATTATTAAATTAATAAAAAAAAACAAATTAATTCCACCTTCACCAATTAAAAAGGAAAGCAATATAAGCTGAAAGAGGCATGGCCGCTGTTTAGGAGTTTGGAGACATGTACTGTATCTATGTGGACCTTTCTTTGCTTTCTGAAATAAATATTTATTGAGAAAAAGGTGAAGAAATATTTTAAGTTAATAGAGTTGATATTTTACTGACAAATATTAATATTATTATATTGGTATGTTCTTTTTCCAGGTAAACATCTACTTACTAGAATCTATGAGAGTCACAAAGAAGAAATAAACTCTGCTGTACTAGAAAGATTTCAGAAAGAGCAACGATTGAAAGAACGTAAAGCACTGTGGGTATTTTCATTTTCTCAAGAAACAATTGATATATAATAACTTTAACTTTAATGTTTTAAAAAATTTAGAATCGGAATACAGCATTAAGCACCAGAGTTACAAATAGTGTACCAATTAGAAACTACAGGTCCAAGAACTGTCAACATGGCTATCCAACATCTTCATTAATAAAAGGAGATGTAACAAAGTCAGTCAGCGATGTGGATGAAGAACACAGTGCGTGATCAGCAGATCTTCTCACAGTGAAAAATGGAGATGTCAAATCTTACTAGTGTCAGGATGCAGCTCTGCTTTGTGCCACAGTCAGTGATAACTCTGGATGATGTTTGATTGTAGTGCTGTATGATTGTCTTCATTCCCACTCAATCCCATGGATTGCCTTCGATAAGGAAAGCACCTTTTGTGGACAGCCTGTTTGGGTATGGAATCTCATAGATGTCACTTTTAGATGTCACAAAAATTCTGACAAATGTGTGATTTTCATGAATGCTTTCTTTTGGTGTTGTCTGGCTTGCTGTGGTGTCCCCTGCAGACAGGAGCTGCAGGAGTCAGGAGTGGAGCTTGAGCAGCCCAGACTGGAGGCTGTACTGGAGGAGCCTGAAGGTGTGGATCTCTGGAGCAATTTAAATACGTCTTTATGTACATCACTTTTATGTTACATTTGTGTGATAAAAACAACAGTTCTGGCAATTCAAAGGAGAAATACCTGCCTATTATAGACAGTCTTAATAACACATCAACACTGTTTGCTTCTTTTTGTAAAAATGATTAGGTTTTAAAGTTCACCACTTCATATTATGCAAAACTACACTTATTGGGACTAATCTGTACTTCACGAATAATTATGTGCACATAACTGTGTAAGAAAGTGTGGTTCTTGAAGTGAATTAATGTTTGAGCCCTGATAATCTAATAATCTGTCATGTTTTTTAGCTTTTGAATATTATATTGCCTAGTTTTCTTCTGCAGCAGCTGAAACACCAGACAATTCCCAGCTTAATACTTTTCAAAACACACAAGACACACAGTCACAGATGGAAGAAGACACCCTTCACACAAGCTCCAAGCAAACTCCTAAGGTTATCCAGGAAATGAAAGGTGAGGCTGAGCCATAGTGACTTCCCTGTACTTCAATGCTTAGCTCTTAGGAAAACAGCTCTGTGTATGTCTGGTCTGTAAACGATGTAAACTTGTGTGTGTGCCATGATAACAGATTTACCACCTTGTTGCTGAATCTTCTCAGATCTTAGAACCTAAACAAAACTAGGACATGTCCGTACTGGAATCGGTGACCTCTAAGGAAAACCTAGTTGTTGCATTAAGTGATGTTAAGTGATGTTAATTTTTGCATTAAGTGATGGACTATAAGGTTAGACTTTCTTTTCTTCACCACAGTATCGAAACCAATGTGCCACCCACAACAAAGTGAGCCCTGCCACCATAATTTGGATGAGACGTCAAACTGAGTTCTTAAAGATTCCAGGGAATAGTTTATATCAGGAGGAGTGTTAACCCTGGGGTTCTGGTTATATTCCACTAGGGGGCTTAAGTTTCCTTTAATTCAGTTAATGAAGTAATTCTCGACCAGTTCAGTTGTATAGTCTGGTGTGCCCTGGTGTGCCCTGTTACAGTCCCCTAGTTGGGTGCTGCTCCCAGAGGATACACAGGTGCTTCTTACTATATACAGTATCCTATATATTGGGATCCTTTTGGATGAAAATTTCTGTGCAAATTAGTAAATCAGTTAAATGATTATGAACAAATGTAATCCTGAATTTCATGGTAGGAAAATAATCTAAAAACTTAGATCTTATCTAAATACTCTAGCAGCTGGTCCAAAATTGATATATTTGGTAGATCTACAGTATGTTATGGACTGATACATGATATCTTCTACATATACTGTACTTGTTCCCCAATTGTTTTCATGTTTAGATTTAACCTCTCGAGAGGTTCACTCACAGGTGGCATTTTATATTCTTCTCTGTGAAATGCGTAGGTATAACATTGCCTTCGGTTTGGGAGAAAGGATTTCCAGAAGGCCCAGAGATGGAGCTTTTCAGAGAGCAGATGAAACTCTTTGTGCAGGACTGGGAAGCTATGGAAACATCCATCACCCCATCTTCTATCTGTCTCCTGGAGATTGCTGGGAAAACCCCAGAGAGTCTGCTGAGTGAAGCAGTCTATGACATGGAGAGTAAGTAGCTTTTCATTGGAGTGACATAGCAATTTGACAAAGCTCATCCTACAAAAATCGCTCTACTGCCTGTGTTTCATACACTTGTACAAAACAGCTCAGAATAATTTTACTAATTTCATCACAGTGTCTAATTTATCATAACATATTTCTGTATTCTAATTATTTTTATAAGGTATTTTAATAATGTAATTCAAGGATAGGAGTTAGTTAAAGATAATCTACTAAATGTATGAGATATTCCCACAAACATAAAATCACAAAACACACAAAACCCATCTTTTAATGTCCAGGAGGTTTCCTGTCCATTATTTAATGATGAAAATGTTTTCACTTTGATACAATAGTTTACTAGTTAAACTAGTTTTCTTCAAAATAATAATTATCATCTAATATTACAAGCTAAAGAGTTCCAACATTCACACTCCCTGTACGCTCCCTGCCCCAGCAATTATTTTTCTTCATTCAATGGCACACCCTTACAGATTGTACACAGAACAGCTATGGGACCATGTATATGAAGATAATTTAAATTATACAACCAAGTGAACAATATTATATGTCTTTGAATCCAGGAAATGACAGCCCTTCCATGGGACAACCTGGTACATAAACCTTACTAGTGTTATGACTGTATGGTACAGCAGTACAAACGGTTGTGGCAATGGCACAGAGGATTATAGAATGTGATTAACCATCAATCAAAGTGAGATTCACACCTTCCGCTGTTGCAATAAAGTCCAATCCATCATACAGGATCACAGCCGTCCCGGACACAAACTGTTCTTTCCCCTGCACTCTGGCAAGCAGTACCGTACTATTAAAGTACGGGCTACTGGGCTTAAGAACAGCTTGTACACTATGGCAGTCTCCATCATAAACAGCTAACTGTGCAATGCCGCAGACCTCTATGCACCTCTGTACTATGCACTTTTGACTTGAACTACCATGTTTTTTTCACTACCACATATTTATTGTTCTCTAACACATATTTATTGTTCTGGTTGTTACTATTTATTCTGTAGTATTTTGTGATGTACAGTCTACATTGTTATGTGTTGTCTATTGTACTGTGTCATCTGCTGTACTGTGCATATCCTGAGAGATCAGAGCGAATTAGAATCCCATTGTACATGTACATATGGCAATAAACTCCTCTGCCTCTAATCCAAATTACTCTGCATGAAATCAGAAATAAATGTACCTTAACAGAGCCTTTCAAGTACATTGCCTGGGAGCTGTCTGGGGTGGACCTGGATGAGGAGGAGGAGGACGCTCAGGCAGTTGCTGAAACAGAAGAGGCAGAGGAGTTAGGAGAGGAAGAGGAGGGAGAGGTGAGTTCAGCAGTTCACTGTTTCATAAGTAAAGACTTTTTACTTCTACTGTTCCCTTTACTTACTTTACAGATGACAAGCCTGTTTGTCCTTTGCTAGCATTTATATCAGTTCTTATTATATGGATTTTTCAATGCATTTCATTGTTGTCTTTGAAGGAAGAAACTCGCTTGCCTAAGAGGCAGCTAGGAGACACTAAACACTTCTGCGCAGTGTCTCTAAAGGAGAAAAATGTACTGATTCCGTGCACTGATGAATGTGCTGCCAAGTATCGGGAAAAAGCATACTACTTCTCCAGCCCAGAGGCCCGGGAAAAATTCCTGCTAAGACCAGAGATGTACGTTTCCCACACCAAGTTATTGCAAGTAAGAAATCTTGCTAAAGTATTTAAGAAAAATGATCATATTTTCACAGATACAAATTTATTATACTAAATGATATATTTGTCAAAGTCTATCGTAGAATTCAGGCAAATGCATCTGTTTTTAACTCTGGCTGTAACCAGTTTAGCTGTTCCACTAAATGACTATGATTTTCTCTGACATTAAAATGTGTATTCTGTGACTGATGCAATACCATGTATGAGTGTATAACCTTTTACTTACTAAACTTAAACATGTTTTGTCTGTCTTGACATCTATAGCATCGTAGGAGGTAGGCTGGGGCTATACCTTGATTCTAAAATACCTTTTCAAAACTTCAAAACTTCACTGAGCTGCCCTGTGATTTATTGCATTCTTACACATTCATTTAGAGACCACAACGACTTTACAACCCATGAAAAAGTTTGCTTTTTGGATTTATTATAAAGCTGTTAATCATTTTTCATAGTCTCAAGAGTCAACAATAATTGTGTTTATAGATTCAAAGAAGTGGGATATAATTTGTGATGTGATGTCGTGCCAAATGCAAGTCTTTCTCAGTCAAAATGTCAAATAATATTTTGAAACATTCCATAAGACCCTGCCATACCGATGGAAAACTAATTAAATGTACTCTCCCAGGCTCCTCCTCTGAGGGTATTTCTGCTGGGAGCCCGTGGCTCTGGCAAGACAACACAAGGAAGATGGTTGGCCAGTAAACTGGGCATCTTTCACATCCAGTTCAGAGAGCAGCTGCAAGAGATGATCATTAAAAAAACCCGGAAAAGAATTCTTTTAGCCGACGAGGTGGAGCCGGAGGAGGAAACTCCTGAAGATGTGGAGGCCCTGCTGGCTGCGGAGGGCCAGAATGAGCTTCCCGAGACTCAGACTGCGGGCAGTGGAAAGGAGAGCCCTGTGGGCATGCCTGTAGAGGTAGGAGCTCCTCAGATCTCTCTTATGTGCATACTGTTTCATTGGAATGAAACAGGCTCATCCTTTTGCTTCTTGAAGTCTGAAGTTTTTAGTTGATAGTTTTACGTTTTAAGATATTTAGGATATTTATTCACTTGAAAGATTTATTAGTATATATAGATTACACTATGTGGCACTATGGGGTGATGTCTTTGAAACTCATTGAATAATTGTAACCTAATGTATTCTGCTTTTCACCTTTGTTTCACTCTTTAATCAGTTTCCACCATAGAATGTGTAGTACTTGATTTTCATTGTGATCTATAGCATGCCTTGGGGTACATTCATCTACAATTCAGAGCTGCAGAAACCTTGAAGTGATTATCTACTGTACCTCACATTTTAAACTTCATTATACATGGTGTGGAGTGGCATGGAGCTTTAGATTTGTAGATTTGATTCTTGAATATTTGGGACAGCAAATTTGTTTGGGAGTTAGAGCTTCTACCATACAGCTCCTTACAGCTGACTGTATGTGTGGAGTCTGCATGGTGTCCCCATGTCTGTGTGAGTGTTCACTGGGTGCTCCAGTTTCCTCCCTGGTATTCATGTTACTAGTAACTTAATGACATGCAGATTACAAAAAGAACTATTAATGTATTTGTATGACAAAGTTTCGTGCTTCTCTGAAATCTTTTTTTTTTAAACTTTTTCTTGCATTTCTTTGGTTTTGCTGTGTTTTGTGAAGTATAAAATTCACAAAATGTGTTGGAATAGCAAATTAACTTTCTAAAATGCACAAAAGGGACAAGCAATATTCTAATATTCATTTGATTCTATGACTATGTTTATTTTATGATACCACCAATGAAATGAAAATCTCCATTATCACTGTGGTAATATAAAAAAATATGCACAGCACTAAAACAGCTTTGAGCTATAAAAAAGTAAAAGGAAAATTAAAGAAATCCACAAACACAGTGGGAAAATATGTTTCCTCCCAAAAGAGCGTGCTATGACTCATATTGTCCTCCTATTTCCTGTTAATTCTGTGCTATCTGCATCTCTAAACAAGGTCACACTCACTGATGAAGAAGAAGCAATCAAATCCTACCTCTCTGATGGCAACCCCTTACCACAAGAGATACTGGACATGATACTTCCACAGTGGTGGGAGGAGGAACCTTTCAGGTAGTAGCAGATATCTTCAATAACGTGCAGCTTAAATTCTATTGCTCTTGCCTAACAATTCCTTCTGGTATAAATGCCTATTAGTGTTGGCAAGATTGTGAGCTAATATGTCCAACTGCCCTTCTTTTGGTTATTATATAGCTTAATTACCGTATATTTCTTCACAGTGCCTTCATTGTAAACAGCAATTTAAATGTATTGTATTAAAATAAGCAAACTACTCACTTGTGAATTCCTTTAATTCAATCTAATACAGCACTGCTAACACCATGTAGACAACAGATGTTTATCTGCCACATTGTATTACTTACTAGTACAGTAGTTAATTTGCTGTCAGGGGAGATACTGTATGTCTCTGAGAATGACTACTTGCTAGATTAAATAAGTTTTCAGGTAAATTGTTTGGTTTATGGGGATTCTTTCCCAAATGTGTGATTGTATTTCATGTTTTTTTCTTTACAGATCCACAGGGTTTATATTAGAAGGATTTCCACAGAACCCGGAGGAGGTCCAGTACCTGGCCGAGCAGAGCTTCTTCTCCGATGCCGCAGTGATCATGACTCTGGAGGTCACTGATATAGTGCAACGTCTGCTGCCCCCTCGCTTGGCCAGGTGGAGAGAGAAGCGAGACAGGAAGATGGAGCTACAAAGAAGAGTCAGAGAAATAAAGAACAAAATGAGGGTAGAGTAGTGTGCACGTCTTTGATGAACATTAAAAAACGAAACTAGGATCATTTGCATGGAAACAGTACATATTTTGTAAGTGATTACCAAGTGTGTTTCACTTGTTTTCTGTATAGGAAGAAGGGATTGCTAAAAGAAGAGGTGAACTTTTAGCTGAACAAGCAGAAAAACAGGCTGCAAAAAGAGTAAGACAACTTTTTCTTAATGATATTTAAATCATTGTATATTTGATCCACTACAGCTTCTAAACTCTGTGTGTCCTATTTTGAAATGTACATTGCACAAAAATGATTTGTACAGTTTTTACTTACATTGTACATTACAACTTTTGTTTTAGCATTTTTCTTTTAGAATTGAACAGCTAGGTTTTAGCAACTACGTTGATCAAGATTAAACATTATTAAAAAAATACAAATGGTATGTACCGTAAATATTTCGTTAAAACTTTAAGTACAACAAGAAGATTATGATATACTGTCCCATTCATAATGGATAATCTATGGATTTCTATTATGCATATAACTATATTGTTGTTTATGTTGTATTTCATCATATGAGTTATGATGCTGTTTCTATTTATTGAGCCATTCATGAGTTTAAAGCTTTTTAACTCCTAAATTAGAGTGGAAATAGTTTGTGTGTATACAAACAGAAGTTACAAACTTATGCTGGCACTTCCTGTCTGAATTTAGTAAATTACTACAGTACTTCTCACTCATCAATCATCTTAATTTTATAAGTGATAAACATATAAAGCTCAAATGACAAAAAGTACCTAAATGAAAATATTAGCATGTTTCAAATGAAGCCGCCAGGTCTTTTGTATCCAGCTAGTGTATTACCTGTATCTAGGTTGTTGCAGGACTCACTTAGAAGAGCTTTGTGCCAGTAATTAAAAGATTTGGGTTTTGATCACTGGCCCCAACCCACTTAGCATGCTGAGTCATTGAGAAAATGCAGTGCCAATACAAATAGGTTGACATTTATAGTACAAATGCTTTCTTGGCTAGTTTCTTGTGGACCTTTAGATTCTTGATAAGACATTATGTCACCTGTCTTCTGTGTTCTTATTGTGCAGGCTAAACAGGATGAAGAGGGGGGCAGTGAAGGTGAGATGGAGGAGGAGGAAGAAGAGGAGGATGAAATTGAGGCCTTGCTTCTGGAGGAGTTCCCTCAGGAAGATGAGGAAGATGCAGAGGAAGAGCAGGAGTTCAATGCTGTAGAGAGACTGGAAGTGGAAATAGGAGAACGATTTGAAACAGACACCACCAACCTCCAAAAATTGCAGGTATAGAACACTAACCACTATGTACATTTACATTCACCATTCTGTTCCAATGTATACTCTCCCCACATTGTGAGGTATTTTTGTGGCTTTCTGTGTAGCAAATACACTTATACTTATGGATAAACAAAATGTACCAATAACTCAAAAACGCAATAAAACTGACTACAATGTGATATTTTTTAAAATCTATTTTCTCCTTTTTAGGATCTGTTAAGTGATCTTCATATACCACAGATCTCCATCAATGCTGGGCGGAAATCTCGTATTGTCCATTTCCAGCTGTATGAAAGACTGAAATCACTGGTGGAGAACAGGGAAGGACTGTTTGAGAAATGTTATCCTCTGAGTTTTACCCAAGCTCGCAAACTGCTGCGTCTGTCATATAAATTCAGCAGTGCTTTTGGGTGCTGGGACCCTGTCAGGGTAAGGTTTGAGCTCTCCTTTTTTTCACAATACTATGGTTTTAAAATGTTGTTTTTTTTCAGTAAGAAACTCACATTTCATGTTTCAGAAATTCCATCACCAATAACTTAAAAAGTGCTGTTTTTTTAAATAACCCATTTTACTGATGCTCCCCTCTGTGATTTTTGAATATTTCTTTCTTTGACAGCTTGGTGAAGGAGATGTGATTCAGCCAATTCAAGGCCCCAATAACCCAACTTATCCTGTGCTCTACCATCAGTTCATTTATTTTTTTGCATCCAAAGACAGCCGCAACAAATTCATGCTGAATCCTATTAAATATCTTCGGCAACCGAAGCCTAAGCCTTCTTTGCCAATCAAAATTGCAGTGGTTGGTCCACCTAAATCTGGAAAAAGTACTGGTAAGATAATACTAAATCTATTTTCTTCTATGAATTCCCTCAGAGTGTGATGGGTTATTGTGATAAACTTCTAAGAATTTGTCTTAGAATTTGATTGTTCTTACTTAACAAAAGGAAACATTATATATAGTAGCTTTATCTCTTAATGTATCTTTGGGAAAAATGTCATTGTCCTCATTGGTCCTCTACATTTGATGTTGTTTTTATTTTACTGTGGTAATGAAATTAAAATATTATATTCTAGAAGAGACGTTCTAGTCATGAAAACAGCTGTATTTTAGAGTAAGAACCTCAGCTTCTGAATACATAGTATGCAACAGTCTTTCCATATTATGCTTATATAAAACCATTTCCTTAATTAGTAAAGTTTTACTAAATGTTACTGATGATGTTGTATCTACCCATTTTTCAGTCTGTTTATCCAGTATTATGGATGGTGTTTTATAATAATTAAAAACCATTAATTTATATTTTGACTGAATGTGAAAGTTGAATCCACTTATATAATTGGGATAATCCTTAATGAAATGTCCTTGAAACATTTGATATAATTACTGTGCTGTACATCAATTAAAGTTAGATAAAAAGAAAGTGCTATTTTTACGAAATCCTCATATTTAAAGCTCTTTTTATAACTTTTTGCCCTTTTATAAACTTCAGTGGCGAAGATGTTTGCGAACGAATATGGCCTACAGCAGCTGTCAGTAGGAGAAGCCATGCGTTTGGTGTTGTCCAGCCAGAAGCAAACAGAACTGGCATTTCAGATGAATAAATATCTAACCAAAGGCCAGACTGTTCCTGATGAACTTGCAATTCAATGTGTGGAAGTAGCTCTAATGGACCTTGTGTGCAGTACCAGAGGGTATGGTTTGTTTAAGATTCAAATGATTCCCTCCTGTCCCTTGTCTTTTTGTGATCAGACTGTAGTGTGGTTTGCTTGCAGATTGTCTATGGATTGTTATGGTTATAGTTTTTGATTGTGTGAGTGTCACTTTTGTATTTGTACATTTAGTCAATGTTCTCCAGATTCATTCATATACCAAATTAAATAAGAACACAAAACATAACAGAAATATTCTGATTGGATAAAGTGTCTTTCGTTTAAAAAAATAAATAAAAATATTGTACTCCAGTCTTAAAAGCATTGTGCAAAGGAAAGTTATAATTGATGTAAATTTAAGTCCAGAAAACACAAGGATCGTTTTTATTCTCAACCACTTAATTAGTGTTAGCAATTATTAAATCCTCCTCTGACATGATTAGACTAACAAGACACCTCCTGTTAATGTGTTATGGAGGACTGGCACTTCCGAGAGGGAGATATGTGACCAGTCTTTCATAAGGTCCTTCAGACACTTTGGTTTCCATGTGTGAAATGTTTCTTGAGTTTAAAAACAAATATTCAATGAGGTCAATGCAAACTGAGAACATTTACTTGTGGCAGCTACAGTAACCCATTCTTTGTCAATTCGGTTGCGTGCATTTGATCATTCTTATGTTAGAATGCCCATATTCAGCCAAACTTAAGCTACTCTGCAGGGGGAACTAGATGTCTTACCAACATGTGCTGTACATGGTACCTGTTGGAATACATGATTTTCCCTATCTTCACTAGGATTTCAGGACCTATAGTTTTGCAAATGTAAACCCACCTCCCACAAAATTCCACAGTGGGCATGAGTGTTTTCTTAATTCTGTACCTTTTTAATGCCAAAAATAACAGTGAAATAACAACTTGAAATAACAAGTTGAAAAACTCAATTTTCATTTCACCTGACCATTGCACATGATATCCGCTGTGAATGTCAACCACCATTTGGTCAGGTGATTGAGAACAGTTACCCTGGAATTAGTGTCCTAGTTTTCCATGTATTTGAATATACTTTCTCATCTCCCCCTAGCCCTTTTTCACATTCTCTTTTATTTATTTTTTGATTGTATGCTTCCCTACCCATTTTGGAAAAGGCAGTTGCATGTACTTGATGCTTCAACTCACATTTGTAAACCCCATGTCTACATAAAGGGGAGAATGAGGACGTGTACTGTATGCAGACTCCACCAAATCACTCACCTTCAAGCCATTTGTTATGTAATACATCACAAGCAACATAAATCCCTTACTGTTGTTTTGGTGCAATTTGGAGGAGAGACACATAGGGGTTACTTTGTCATGGAGAACCAAGACAATGAATGGATGAACAATGAATCCCTACCATAGGCAACACTCAGTCAATTGTATGCCGACACTTGACTGATCAAGTGACAGTCACAGTCACAGTCAGCTAGTGACATGACCAGGGCTTGAGCCCATGATCATAGATCTCAACCAGCACTTGAGAGCCTTTTTTTGGTTGTCCTGTATCCTCATTTTCCAGCTCTGTTCCTCACACTTTTCACCATGGCATTAACCTCTGCCTGTTCTGGCATGGTATTTTTATCCAGATTTTGTTAAATAATTTCACTTTCTCACCTTAAGAAAACTGGACAATTAACATTTTAAGAAAATGTTCCCTGTACCATATTTTCAAGTTAAACATGCATGTTTCCTTTATAAAAGTACGCAGGAATCCTCTCAAAAACGTTTGATGCTCTCATGATATACAGTACTTGTATGTGGCAGCTTAATACACATAGTAAACAAACCATGTTAAGGGCATTTTTTTGTACAAAATTTTTAACATCAGACACTTAGGAACTTTTCAAAACCTTCTCAAATTAAATTAAATTGGTCAACATTTATTTTTTATACCAATACTTTAAGATTAAAATTAAAAACAAGCTGAAGTAAAAATACCAGTATTACTCTATTTCGTTATTGCTACCTTATAGTGTTGGATATCACTGTGAATGGGTTTCATAGCTGATAATGAACTGTTCAAAATATTGAGTGCTGTTCCTATATACAGTGCTTAGAGTACTATCCACCACTGTTTTGAAGCATTAATACTGGTAATGTAGCACATAATAATGACTGTATGCTATGTATATACATCTGCATTTGCAGATTTGTTCTTGATGGGTACCCTATGACAAAGAAGCAGGCAGATCTTATGGAAGCCCGGAGTATAATCCCTGTCAGAGTGCTGGAGCTGCAGGTGGACACAAAGGAGGTTTTAAGGAGAGGATTAATGGATAAAATAAACACTGTAAGGTAAAATCCAGAGTTTATCTTTTTATCAGATTTCTCATTCGTTGTTTGTTAAAGGTATAATTATATTTTTTGTGGTCACCACTACCCAACATATCCCTGCAATTATAGTTTTAATTTATCGTTATTAATTATTTGCTGAAACATAAACATGCCACTTCATGCTGCATTGCATTCAGTACCATTGCAAAACATTTGAAATATACAGTAACCTGAGTATCCTAATTAAAACATAATATTACTATGGGCTGCTTTTAAGTTGTCAGGAAATGTCAGGGATTACAAAACAAAAAAAGATCAGTAGCAGATGGGAATGAATAATAGATAAGAGCATTTAAGGTAGGAGATACCATTCACATTGAGTTAGCCTGTGTTAACAAAGAATATCTCATTAGAGTCACACATACTCTGTAACGCAGTTGGTCAAAGATTGAAACATGACATGCAATATAACTCACTTTACATAACTATATTGCATTTCCCTGGCAGATCCTACCCACTTCATGACAGTCCACAGATTTTCACCATCCGCAACTCCATCTACAAACGCGAAGTGGAAGCTGTGAGACAGTACTATCGGCAGCACTACCAGAACTGGGTGGTAATCGATGGTCACCGCAGCAAGTGGTGGGTGTGGAATAAAATGCTTGAAGAGTCCAGAATGAGTGTGAAGCATATTCAGAACTATCTGGAGAGGATCCGACAAGGTATGATAAGGGAACTTATCATGTCTCTTAAAATGGGCCTCATACTATATTTTGTTTTATTTGTACATTAATAGGGTGGCACAGCATTGCTGCCTCATAGTGCTGGGGCTCTGGGTTCAGTTCCTGGGGTGCTGTCTACCTGATGTTTATATGTTCTACTTGTATTTACATGAGTTTTCCTCCCACTGTCCAAAGATATACTGGTAGGTTAACTGGCTTTTGGGAAAACTGTCCCTGGTTATAAGTGTGTCCGTGTTTGTGGCTGTGTGTCTGCCCTGTGATGTGCCCTGCCTTGCGTCATTTGCTTGTCAGGATTCTCTAAATGTAAATGTACAGTATATGTTGTACTCTAAATAAAAAGGCAAATATTTAACATGCTATGGGTTTTTAAACATATCATACTATGTTCCTTAAACACCTGTTCTTTGGAAATAACAGATTGGTGCTACATTAAATGTACATACTGTATGAGGCATGACTACAAAAAAAAACATGCAAACTAAACGTGAGTGAAAAACCTTCAAACACTAAAGAAGGAGACGTTTATTTTCACATTATTCTTCTTAATTCAGACTTGTCTTTCTACAGGAAAAGCTGTTATTCTGCTGTTCGATTTGTAAATGCTTCACTAACACAAGGCCATTCTCATAATTATTACTACTACCAACAACTGTGGGAAACCCTGTATTATTTTGGCTGTGTTTTCATCCTCATTCTGTTGTCTGAGCAGGAAAGGCAGCCAGAATCGACCGGCTGTGCATCACGCCCCAGGAACTCCAATCCCGTCTGGGAGAGTTCGGACACTACTGTCCTGTGAGCCTGGCAAAGCACAGGGAGCTTGTTGACTGCGCTGTCTCAGCTTCACTGGAATTTGCAGCAGAGTTCCGTGGCCACTATTACAAGATGGCTTCCAAGGAGTGTTTGGAGGTAAGAAAGGACAATAAGTATGTGTTTAAATATCAAACAAACTGGCCTGATGTTATGAATATTTTTCTAATACTATCACATATTTATACATTATTCTTTTTTTCCAAGATATTCCTTGAAACACCGGAGCAGTTTGTC